TTACAATTACAAGACGAACTGCCAACTCGAGCCACGATCGCCCCACGATAAACTGAACTTTGAAATTCGTTTCTGGAAATCATAAACCGGGCATCCTCCAGACTAAAGAATAGACTGGCCACCTGGCCTGTTATCATTGCTTAGTTCCATCTGGAAACTTAGGGGATGTCTGTAATGCTAAAAGGTATATACTGGTTTTAGAGAAAGATATAATCCCATCCATATCACATACTTTTCATTGAAGGCCTCACATATTTCAGAAAGACAATGCTAAACTGCATACTTCAGCTTTTCCAATGACTTTATAGCAGAAGAGTCAGGACTGTTGAGCAGCCACAATCTAATATGAGACAAGAATTGGACTGCTGTTAAACAAAGAGGGGTTGCTACACAGTGATCCCCCCCCGCCCCCCCCTCCAATTAAACATCCAACATATCTTCTCTGTTCTTTTGTGAAAAAATATGGTTTTATGAGATTTGCAAATCATTGCTGCATGTATGTAAACTTACATGTTATATTCTACCTAAAAAAATATTGCATTTGGCTAAAATTAGAATAATATAGGCCTGATTTTTGTGTTGTCTTATGCAACAGTTATCGAAGTGACTGGTATGATCACATATTTTGCTGCATCAGCTTCTGAATGTCAGGATTTGCTAACACATTTGTTCATAAATTAAAGGTCTCGGTTTGGCTAAATTTTTCATTGGACTACAAAAAGACTTGTGTCGTTATTATTTACCCTACGAGAACCATCCAGAGTCTATTGAGACATTTCTCTGTGAGTAAAAGTTCAAGAGACAGCACAGCACCGTACTTCCTTCAGTTTCCTTCCGTTATAACCTTTAGAACGCACAACTAACAGAAATGCATGAAAACCACACAGACTGTGTACTTGTACTGTGGCTTCTTAACTTCCTTACTGGGACAAAAAAGTCAGTCCCCAAAAGGTAGATGGTTATATTTTAGGGGGAATATTTATCTTAAGTTTAGGTTTGGAAATATTCAGGATAACAATGTAAGTCATAAGTTAAGTATTGCCCTCTAAAACTTCCTTGTAGGAACAAAAAAAAGTCTACATGAGTTAAATCACAATGTTTTAGGGTAAAGATGTGGTTTAAAGTTTAGTCTAACCCAGCCATGGCTGGGCCACAAGCCAGTGTACTCACTGTTCATAAACTATGTTTGTTGCAGACAATGGAAGAAGAAGAAAGGGGAAAGGCATCTTCAGAGACGAGAGAGAAGGAAAGGCAGGAGTTTGGGGTTGAGAGTTGGGTCTTTAAATGTAGGGACTGTGATCGGCAAAGGAAGAGAGCTGGATAACACGATGGAAAGAAGGAAAGATGGATATATGACTTGGACAGACCGGGTGTAAGAGAAGCAAAGCCAGGAGCAGTGGGGGTCAGTGCACTAAAGGTTGGGTTTCAGGTAGAAAAGAAAGGAAATCTGGAGTAAGTTGGGTGATGTATAAGAAAGTAGGAAGGTGCACACAGGTGGAGTACTTCTACTACAGAAAATGCAATCCGAAAAACATATGAGACTGCAAGGTGGTGTCGGGGGAGAATGTAGGCAGGAAGTGAGATGAGTTAGTTACTTAGGGATGCAGACTTGAGACTGGAGCAGCCAGGATTGGACCACCAAGGTCCCTGTACACCAGGAGTGTGTAAAATGTTCACCACAACTGTAGAGCAGAAGAGAGGTGATGAACAGTGAGCAGCAGAATGGCTTTGTGCTAAGAAAGTGCACTACAGATGTGATGTTTGCTTTGAGGGTGTTAATAGAGAAGTGTAGAGGTCAGGAGTTGCAGTGTGACTGTCAATTCTTTGTGGATCTTGAGAAAGAGGAACTGTAGAAATGCACGAGGAAGTCAGGACAGCAAGACAGTGGTGAGATGTCTGGAAGGAGTGCCGGAGGTGTTCAAAGTGGGGGTGGGATTACATCAGGGATTGGCTCTGAGCCCCTTCTTGTTCACAGCGGCAATGGACAGGTTGATGATGATGGCAGCCAGGATGTTTGCAGAGTAGGAAGCAGGTGGAGGAGAGTATGGAGAGGTGGAGGTATGCACTGGAGAGAAGAGGAATGAAAGTTAGTAAAAGCAAGACAGAACACATATGTGTGAATGAGAGATAGACCAGTGAAAAGATGAACATGCAAGGACTACAGAGAGTGAAGGTAAATGAGTTTAAATACCCGGGGTCAACCATCAGAACCAACGGACAGCACAAAGATCTGGGTGAGGGCAGATAGCTGCTGCTCCCTGTGCCTGGTTCTGCCGGAGCTTTCTTCCTGTTAAAAACTTTTCCTTCCCACTGTCGCCAAGTGCTTCTCAAAGGAGGAATTTGATTGCTGGGGTTTTCTCAGTATTATTGTAGGGTCTTTGCCTTAAAGACCACAGCTTCTTGAGGTGACTTCTGTTGCGATTTTGGTGCTCTACAAATAAAAGTGAAATGAAGTGTATAGAAGAGAGTGCAAACAAAGTGGAGTGGGTGAAGATGAATGTGAAAGGGAAGGTTTACAAGATGGTAGTGAGACCTGCTGCCATGTAGTGTGTTTTGGAGACTGTAGCACTAACAAAAAGATGGGAAGTCAAGCTGGACGTGGCAGAGCTGAAGACGTTAAAGTTTTCATCTCAGTATGACCAGGATTAGAAATTAGTACATCGGAGGGACAGTTTAGATTGAGCATTTTGGAGACAGCGTTAGAGGCAAGCCTGAGATGGTATGAACATGTGCAGAGGATGGATAGCAGATGTGGAATATGGAGCTCCCAGGCAGGATGGATGGATTAAACTGGTTTTAGTCCACAAAGAACAATCTGCTCTGTCTACATGGTGCTTGATGTCTGCCCATCTTATCAGAAATTACATTTGTCACTTGAAGTGGGACTAATTCATGAACAAATATCTGGAATGAAAATTACACTATATCTTTATATAACCTACATCACTGCAGTCATCACAGCCATCTCTCTTTACACGCATTCATTTTTCATGCTTTGTGTTACTTATTTTTGGATCGTGTAACTGCGCTTCGGCCTCTCTCTGTATCCAGTGGATGGCAGCAGCGAGGGGTATTCTGCTTGTTGTTGATGCTGAGGAAGCTTCTCCTCCACTTCTGCATCTAAAGAGACAAGCACGAACTTCCTGTGTGATCTCCGTTCAGCTGACTTCACCCTGGCTGCCTCTCTGGGAGGCTTACAGGCTGTGCAGTCTGGGGGATAGAGAGCCTTCTGTGGGCGGTGTACAGCTCGCAGAGACGCTTGGAATATTCTTGCAGAAGCATCAACAGAAGATCAGCAGCAGCAGCCATAAATGTGGATTGTTTACACCGGTCGGTCGAGCCGTTCCTGCTTCCCCGCCTCCCAGCGACTCCGAGCGGCCGACTGTGCTCAGCAGCGTAGCCGCAGATAGCGTCAGTGGAACGGGGCTGATGGCCCTGGTGCTCGGCCCGGCCTCCATCACCCTCAGCGTCTGCCCGTGAGACTCCTAGAGAGCTACAAAGCCACACCGCTACATCTAGTCGCCTCAAGTCCCGTGGGAAGAGCGGAGAAAGGAGAGGCGGAGCGGGGCTCAGCATCGCACCGTGCATGGTGCTGCGGTGTCGGAGGGAGTGGATGTGCAGCCAGAGCTGACCCAGAGATGGCTGTTCTCAAACTGGCCGACCAGGTAGGACCAGCTAGCCAGTTAGCTTAGCTTCCAGACCTGCAGAAGCACAGTATTTCTCCTCCTGTGTGGTAGGAAAGTGTTTCAGTAGCACATGTTGTGCTATTTAGTTTTATACAGCCTAGAAAATAATAAAATAGATTCCTTCCCTACTGATTGGGCACAGGACTCTATCAATAAATTAGCATAACACTAAAAAAAAGAAAATGGCCTTATTATTTGTTGTAAATGTCGTTAAAATGGTGACAGCTCATCTGTCTCACATTTCCTGTTCTGTTTCCTCCTGTAAGCTGTTAATGTCTTCAGTAACTACTGTGTTGAAGTCAAAGTACCCGAGTATTTCCCAGGGAAGGCCCCTAAGTTTGAAAACAATACTTTAAAGCTTTGTATTCTTGGACTTTGCTAAAATAGACTCGCACAGTTCACAGTTGTAAGTATGGATCACTGACTCTTTATGCATCCTCTCAGTGCAACCTGTCTGAATCAGGCTGCTTCAGCTCCTTCCTCTTTAAGGTCCCCTCCCTAAAAGTCCGCCTTCAAACCCATTGGCCAGTTTCTGAAAGCCTGCAGAGTAGTAACACTCAGCCCATGTAAATTGTATTGCTTCTACTTCTGGGCCATCTTTTGCCCATGAGATGATTTATCATCATTTCATTTAAAATCTTTTAAAAACACTCATATAAAATGTGCATTTTGATGCACACAGTATAGTGTAATTAATCTGTAACTGACTTATTAAACTTGCTTCTTGGTAAAAATGAACAAAAGCCAAGTATGTCTTTTGTTCTTATAGATCCTGCTTTTCTTCTTATATAGTGCTTTTCTACTCTGTTCAGTGGTAAACTGTGAATTAATGAACTAGCTGATAATCAGAAGCTATTGTGCTCTGTAATTAAACCGCAAAATTTAAAGTTGTCTTTGAAAAAGCTAAAATCTTCGTTCAGTGGGTATTGTTTTAAAATTTTTCTTAAAGAAATTCTTTTTCTGTTTATTGACTGATTGTTTCACCTTGAACATGTCGAAGAGGAGCTTAGAGAATATTTTACTTTGAAGGCGATTTAATCAGACAATTTTTATGTAGAATTCTGGCTGAAATATTTACTTGATGAATTATTCAGTATAATATTAAAATGATTTTAACCTGTCCATTTTTTTTGAAACTCAATTTTTCAACCACAGTGTTGCTTTTTTCTTTTTTGTTTGAATTCAAAGTACACAGACTAAATTTGAGGTTTGAATTATTAGTTGAAGTCATTCACAGCTATCAGTTTGGCTCTTGTTAATTTCAAGATATCAACAAATCGAGCAAATTCTTTTAGTCTTAAATTAAACAAACAACATATGAAACAAAAATAAAGCAAAACAAACATACATAAATCAAAAACAAGAAATAAGCAAACCCCACCACAGTATAGTTTCTTTCATATGAAAAATACAGAATGTGTAACTTTGCAGATTCACAAGTTATGGAAAAACAAACAAACAAAAAAAAAAAACCCCAAAAAGAACTAAAACAGCATTTCCAGCAACATTACCGTCCTGGGTTAACCCCGTTTTCTTCATTCTTATACTTATTTAAAATTAGGTTTTTATATTTTACTTTAAACTGTTTTATGTTTTTACTGTCTTTTATTTCTTCTGTTAGACTGTTCCATAATTTAACTCCTGCAATTGAGATAGACATCGTTTTTAAAGTTGTTCTAGCACTTTGTATTTTTAAATTCCATTTCCCTCTTAAGTTATACCCACTTTCTCTTTCTATGAACAATTTACAGATTTCTTTTGGAAGCAATTTATTTCTTACTTTATACATTATTTGCACTGTTTTAAGCTTCACCGAGTCTTGGAATTTAATAGCTTGCATTTTGACAAAGAGTGCATTTGTATGGTCCCTGTACCTGTGCCCCACAATGAAAACGTTAAAAATGCTTACTGGCTGTATGTCAGCAGTGCTGTCATGTTTCAGATTCCTTGTGAAGGACCTCCAACTCAAAAAATTTAAATTGTCCCAAGGAGACATACTTGACATGATGTGTACAGTACTCTTCAGCAGAGGTTGAAAAATAAGAATTTTTATTTAAACAAGTCATAAACAAGCAGCCCTAAAGGTGTTCAGAGAAATATAAATTTGAACATTTACATTTAAAACTCGGGCACAGTCTGCGACTGTTATGTTACTTTACAGTCACACACTGGTTAAAAAGTACAATTAGACAAACTGCTACAAAAAGAATCACAAACGCGACAAAGAAACACTTAAAGGCTACAAAGAAACTTGTAACAGCTACAGGACACAATATTGCTACAAAGAGACACTTACTGGCTACAAAGAGATAGTTGTTGATAACAAAGACACACAACAGCTACAAATAGACAAATGATGGCTGCACATAGACAACCAGCTACATATGGGCAGAAAATGAAGAGATACACAGTGACTACAAAGATCTCTCTGTGGGCAGCAGCACAGATACACACCTCTCTGAGCAGATGTGAGCATGGAAGTGTAAAAGTACGTGATTTTGTAAATAAAAATTCAAAAGCAACACCGCCTATTAAAACAGGACTTTGAGAATCACGACCCTCAGAGGTCCTTCATAATCTCACATTAAGATTTTTTTTCAAAGTTAACCGACTCAGCATCTCTCTGCAGAGCTCTCATGTGGCCATGTGAGATATGTCTTGAGGGAAGCAAGAGCTGCTGTCAGTGTGTGTGTGTCTGTGTGTATGACCTAGAAGTGTAGCACTTCCTGTTATTTTCAGACATGCTGATGATGCCTGATAACTGGATGCCTCAGACTTTTTTTCTTTTCATCCCGGTCTTATCAACAGTGGATACCATAACAATCCCACTGCTGTAACGTCTCTTTTAACTTGTCATCTGCTGAATTGATTCCGAGGTTGACGTCATGTCTAAAATTCCTCGGATGTGTTTGTGAATAAACATCAACTTTTTTTTTCTCTCTCGTTTTTTGTGCGTGCGTGGAAATGAAAGACTCTGTGGGGTAAAAAAAAACCTCATCGCAGAACGCAAAGGAAGTACAGGAAGTCGTTGACTTCTGACTTTCTGCCAAAGCACAGTTATGTGTCTGTTGTAGATGTGCACACGATTTGAAGCAGGTGAAACATTGAGACCTCTTTAAAAATGACTGCAAACAGAAATGGGAACGATTTTGTCCTTTTCAAATACGTAATTGTTCGTGTTAAACTCAACTTTTAAAACGTTCTCAACTTTCTTTATAATTAGCCCCAAACCATAGGATTGTCTTTACAAAGCTGAATAGTGGATCATGTTCAGGAAATTACAAGGAACGTTTCCAGGTAATTACAAGGACAAAACGAAACTTGTTACGCTTTCACTGTTTGAGGAAGTCTGAAGTGTGCCACTGAGCCTGAGGAGAAGAGACTGAGCCAGTATGAGGCCTGTTACCTCAGGCATCAGCGGAAATTAAGGCATTGTTGCAGAGCACATATATTTCAGATTAGCCTGCTAGTGTGTTTGGAGGATGCCAGTGGAATGAAAACATTGGTAATCAGATGCAGGATGTTTGTACAGTATAAGGTGGAGATTGGATTGTCCTGCACCGGCCCAGAACCTCAGGTTCTAATAGCTGGTTCCACTCGGTTCTTGTTCACGATTAGTAAAATCAGTGTTCAGAAATTCCCCCAAAAAACACATGTACTGAATGCTAATGACCCAGCTTGCTTTTAGAAGCAGCACTCCATTAGCTTAAACAGGATAGCATAAGCCAAAACATGTTAATGGTAGCTGATTGACGAATCTAAACTGGACAACATTAGTCGTCTTGCAACCACGTCTTTGGCCTTCACGTGGAATTTAGGTTTAAGGAACTTTCATCTTGGCTTCATTTTTGCACCAACAAATAAAGCTCAGTGAATTTCCACGTCTTCTGCTGTTTGTGGCCCAAACAGGGTTCTATTAATTACTGATTTAGACCAAAGAAAAATAAGCTCAGGTGCTTTCATAAATGTTAAGCTAACATTAGCCTTTGGCAGCATTGCTACTCCACAAACAACAATGGCTCCTGACTAGTTACTAGTGTTAAAAACATCTCCCGCATCCCTATAACCTGTTGTTAAATCCAGGCTTTGTGGAGGATTACACCAGGTGTAGATGTCATAAAACAGTAACATTTAAAGAGATCAACATTGTCTTTTGTTTTTAATTTTAGTGAATGGAGAACCTTTAATGTATTTATTACAGAGTCATATGTGTTCTGCAGTCTCATTGGTTGCACACCTCAAGGTTGAGATAGGTTTATATTGGGACATGCCTACTTCAAGGCACTAGTGGTTTTGTTTTTTTGCCAGTAGTCACTTGAAACTGCTGAACGTCACTGACTTTCTTTGGTCTGTAGTCACCACACCGCTGCAAATCTTTCCTTCCTTGACAGTACTTGTATTTTTTGACTTTTGTTCCTCTTTAACTTATCCCTCATCCTCTACCCATTTGCTAAATATCCCCATACGTGATCCTTGCGTCTGTATACCAGTAAGTTTAAATACATTTGGAAAAAAGGGCTGAAAATAACTTCTGTGCTGATTTCATTACATAACATTTTCCACGTGAGTTGAGAACATGACCTTTTTAGGGACAGAATAGTCATTAACAGAAATCAGCACATACTTGGAAAAAAGTAGTAAAAATATTCATCAGCTTTCAGAGTTACTGCAAAAATTTTCTTCTAGTAGCTCTTGTGTGAGCACGTGTTGGATTTCTCTGATTTATAGAGTTTGGGCCTTTTAAACAGTTGACATACTTGAACTTGAGAATAGAAGAAGTGTGACTTTTTATTTAAAATATATAATTATTAGATCCTTAACACAAAAAGGCATATGTTATGGCCAAATATGTTTGGCTGTTACCGGCAGGCTGACACTGCACGTTGAAGAGCATTTTCTCATTGTTATTGGTTACTAACGGGATGTTGGTCACATTGGTTCTGCCTTAAGGCTAATGGGAAGTGTGTGTGTGTTTGTGTTTGCATGCGTGCGTGTATGTGTGCAAGCTGCAATAATGAGCTCCTGTGTTTGAAATAGCCTGTGGGGATGATATACCAGGAAGACTAGTGCAGAAAGCCAAGTCCTGATGTCATTTCCTGTCTAAACCTGTCTTCCTCAAGCTTCACTGCATTTCTCACTTAGCATTTCTCTGAGTTATTGGATTTATTTACTAGAGTTCCCAACAGAGGACACTAGCTTTTCTACTAAGGTATTCCCCTGACACATCCTATGAATCGTTGCCTTCTTGTGGCAGTACCAGCCAACTCCTGAGAGATGCCAGCTGAGTGTTTTTGTTACAGCCACTAAGCATCGAGCTAAATATGCCTATAATCCTGACTCCATCACTGCAACTTTGTGAGTGTGGGAACGAGCATAGATGAGCTCATTTGCATTATTGTGTGACTCTGTCAGTGTTACACATTAGATCTGATCTGAACTAGCAGCTTTAAACATTAGTGTGGTAGAAAAGCAACTCCTGTGTACTGCAAGTAAAAGTAACAGCTACAGTCCTGCGACATGCTGCGCACACGTGTCTGCCTTCACTCTCAGCAGTGAGTGAGATGATGGATGCTGCAGCAAAATTACATTCAGGGGAATGAAACAGTCAGATGAGGAAGAAGTGTTGTGGCGTGCTGTATTTTTTAAAGCAGAAGTGAAAAACTTCTCTGTGGTTGGTTCCTCTCTCAGGTTTCTGAGAAGGAGAGACTGTGTAACAGGAAGTGAGGCAGGAGTAGCAGAAACGCACAGGAAGTGAAGTGAGGCCTCCCTCTGCTCAGCCTGGTTCATAAATAACACAATGAGCACAATCTACACATCATCTACATTTCGGTTTCAATTTTGCAAATTTTTAAATTGAGACATTTTGACTATATTTGTAATTGTGTTTTTAGTATTTTTTTTAACCTCTTAAGCCCCAAGCCTAACTGATCTCCTGCCTTTTGTCCCTGTATCAGGGGGCGTTGGGGCTTAAGAGGTTAAGTAAAGGAGCTATATCTGTTTGTTTTTCACGTTTTCAAATGGGAGCATTTGCTGTTGTCTTTAAAAAAATCATTTTCTAAAAACTGGTAGTCCTTAGCATCCTGTTACTCTTGTTCCCCAATACAAATTTGCCGCCTTCAGAATATTAATAATTTATAAAAATAACAATAAAGAAACATATTTAGATATTAATGCTTAAAATTTTTTGTAATGATATTAACCTGCTACTGATGTTGCTATGACAATGATATCATAGCAACATAACATACTAGCCTAAAAAAAGAATAGTTAGCTCCTTTGCTAGCCTGAACAAGCTAACATCACCTGCTATTTTAGCCCAAATAGTATAACACCAGTGATAATGACTTTATTTTGTTTAGGTTATTGTACATTAGATACAATAACCTAAACAAAATAAAGCTAGCTGATAATTTAATAGATTAAGCAGAATGAGATAAACTGAACCTAAACTGGATACATTACCTGCGATCCTCATAGGCTAAAGTAGAAAATAGAGGTACAGTTTTAAAAAGTCATGAGTTTATATAATGTCAGCGCATAGATCATAATTGTGTTTCAGAATTTAATCCATGCTTGTTTCAAAACAGGTTAATTGTTAACAGAAATGTAATCAGGAAAAATGATATTCCCATACTTTGCTTCCAAAGAACCAGAACTTGTTCTAATTTGTCAGAATCTTCCTTTTCAGGGTTTGCCTTTGGACATTGGCTGCTGTTTCACTCGTGACAATTTTGATTGTTAAATTTATTTATTTATTTAATACAAACATTTAAAAAAACATATTTGGCTTTAATACTGTTTAGCAAAACCTGCATGAACCTGAACCTGAACCTAAAAACTGGCCTTTAAGTCCGCCACATGTTGTCCCAGTTTTCTGTGTTTTTGCATTCTTTAAAAGCCTCTGATATCTGCTGTTTGGGCCTGTATTTACCTCCCCTCTCTCATCCTGAAAAGAATAATAGGGGCATCGGAGACACTGAGCCCTTTTTTCTTTTTGTGATGTGTATCTACCAAAAATTTTCCACAGTAGTTTCTCTGTCTCACAGAGAAACGGGAGATATAAGAAGTAAGGGAAGGCCTGCATTTCTTTTGTGTACAGTCTGCAGTTTTTGTACACGCTGCAGCTTTAAGTACTGCACACATAGGCAGCACTTCATACCGTGGGAAGGATCATAGCCTTTTGTAACGTCCGTAGTGGTCACGTGACTGTTCTTTCTCGTCCCCACAGCCTCCTCTCATCCAGGCAATCTTCAGTGGAGATTCTGAAGAGATCCGTATGCTCATATACAAGTCTGAAGACATCAATGCTCTGGTATGGTCACATGTACACCAAACAGGCATTCTGTCTCTGTGCATGTGAAACACTCACCTATTCATATTTTCCACAGAGCAGATGGTTTGTATTCACAAATAAACTGTATGCAGGTACTTACCTCACTGGCTGCTGCTGTGAAGTGGAGGAAGAGTGAGCTTTTTTTTTTTTTTTTAGCTCTTGGTTTCTACATTTATACACATGACAGATGTGTATAAGTGACACATGATAAAAAGTTCATCCTGCATGTGCTGAATTTATAAAGAATATCAATCTAATTTAAGTGGTTTCACCATAACTCTGTTCATCCAGGACACAAATATTCACACAAAGCACTTGTGTTCTCGCCATCGTCTGTAAGCGTGCATGTTTTAGTGCAGAAAAAGTTTCCTTTGCCCAAAGTCAGCTTTTAGGGAAATAAAACTGGACTCGGTGGCAACCACCTTTTTCTTCGTTCCAACCCCCACTTCCTGTTTTAGAATGAGGGAATTAGGGCTCCGAGTTAAGAATCAGTAAAACCAGAGTTCAGGGTGAGTGTTTATTTACACATCTGCTCATATGGGTATAAATACACAACACATGTCGGGGCTGTCCTCTCTGCTTATGTCAGCCCACTCAGCCAGTGTGATGGGCATTTATTCAATGAGACGCTCTGAGCACGAGGTCACTGATCCTCTACTCATCTGTGACCTCATACCAGCTGCATGAATGGAAATAGCACTGGATTTAAATACTTATAGATTTGGTTATCAGATCCATCTGTTGATGGTACGCTGTATGTTTGGTAAATGTAAACAGAGGCTTTTGTGTTTACAGGAAAACTCCACAGAGCGCTCTAAATGTTGCTGTGCAGACTGGCTTTGCCTTCGAGAAATGCAGAACAACTGCAAGGATGTACAAAAGAGCCACACATAGACAAAAAACACCCCCAAAGAAACATAAAGACACATATAACTGCCACACAGAGACACAGAAACGACCACAAAGGGGCAACCCCCCCACGACAACCACAGAGACTCGATCAAACAGCCGCAAAGTCATACAAGCAGATAACAGAAACCATCACAGAGGGAAAATTGCCAGAAGACAATTAGGACTGTAACTGTGTGACATGTGCTCATATGTGGGAGGGTCACTTGTCTCATAACGCACCACTGTTCCTCCATCAGGATGCAGAGAAGCGCACTCCGCTGCATGCAGCAGCCTTCCTGGGCGATGGCGAGATCACCGAACTCCTCATCCTCTCGGGTAAAACACGCCACGTCTTTCTTGCAGATTTCAGCTGTTTTTGTTGTTGTTTTTTATTGAATGAATGTAGATGTGGAGCTTTATGACATTTAAAGCATCCCAGATAAAATACAGTTATCTCGTGTCCAATTTAAAAACAAACACACAAACAAACCCCTACATTGTTTTGATAATATTAAATTGCCTAAAACTTTACGTAGCCCGGCCACTAGCGCCCTGACTGTCGCCCTCAATATGCTTCATCATTTTCTGGTGAAAGTAATCACCGTATGGATGCATCTAAGGCTCATGTTAGTTGATGGAAGTGGAAGGCTTGTGTTTCCTGGAGCTGTGAGGAAATTTCCAGAGTGCTTTGTAAACGTGAAGTTACATCTTTTCCGTGTTTGCCATGCTGTTTCTGCTCTGCAGGGGCACGTGTCAACGCCAAAGATAACATGTGGCTGACCCCTCTCCATCGCGCTGTTGCATCTCGGAGTGAGGTGAAAACACACACACACACACACACACAGGCAGTGCAGTCAGGGAACCTCGGTGTGTTTTACATGAAAGCAGACAGATCACTTTTCTTTTCAGGTCTCAACCAGAACTCACGCTGTTCTCCATCTTAAGGAATCTGGGTTACAGCAGTTCATTGGCTGCATAACTCCCAGTATCCATACTGGTAATTCATCATAGCAGGACTAGCTGAAGGATCCACTGGCTGTGTGCCCATTTATAGATACCAAGTATCATGGGTTTATATGTACACGTTAAGAGTGGTTAGAGTTTTAGCAAGCTCTTGCTTATTAGACTGTATGTATTTATGTGACAGATTAACTTTATTTTCAAATTCTGATCACTGTCTTTACATTTAAGTGCAAGGTATTCCAACTGTTCAGAAGTCTTGATCCACCCCTCATTTCTTTGCCAGGGAAATGGGAAGTTGAAACATGACCAAACAACCAGGGAAATATAGTTTGTAAGGATAAAGCAGAGTTTGTACAATTCTTACAAGGCTGAAAGTCAATGTCTGGAATGAACATCCTAATTCACCAACATAGCCTGAGCTCTCTTTGGCAAGCTTCTGGGGTTGGCTGTAGCTCAGGTGGTAGAGCAGGTCAGAGGTTCGATCTCAGTCTGCTCCAGTCTGCATGCCAAATATCCCTGAGCAAGATGCTAACGCTGATGCATCCATCGGAGTATGAATGCATATGAATGTTAGATAGTAAGCACAGGAATGACAACGACGAGGGCCGGTATCCTGAAGTGTTTCCATGTGTCCCTGCTGCAACACACCTGACACCTAACCCTACTCAAGTATATTTAAATAAAAGTGCAAGTTTTAAAGAAAAAATGTATTTCTAAAAGTACTTTTATTGCACCATATTCATTCACTCAGGAGCTGCTGTGACATGAATCAAATGGCTGAATTGCCACCTGCAGTCCAGTTCTATACAGTCTTTCTAATGACCAACTAATATTATTTAGCTGTGTTGCAGCAGGGACACATGGAAAAGTTACAGGACGCCGGCCCTCGAGGAGTTCGACACCAAAAGTACTCAAGTGAATGTACAAGTTGTGTAAAGTGCTTTGAGTACTCAGAGTAGAATAGAATAATCCTTTAATTGTCCCACAAGGGGAAATTTGGCTGTAACAGCAGCCAGAAAGACACATATACAACAAACAGTACACAGGACACAGAACAGACACATACACAATTTTTCTTACATATTTACATTAAGGATAATTGTTACTATAAACAGAGTACTGTACTATTATTAAGTGAAATAAAAATAACCACAGATAAGAGGCAAAGCAGGTTGTAGTGCGAATCGGTTGATAAAAAAGTGCAGTTACAGCGCAGATGTAAACATCTGTTTGTTGGGAGCAGTTCTGATTGTACAGTCTGACAGCTGCAGGGAGGAAGGACCTGCGGAAACACTCCTTCATGCATTGAGGATGCAGCAGTCTGTCACTGAAGGAGCTCTGCAGTTCAGCAACATTTACATGCATGGAGTGGGAGACTCTGTCCATCAGAGATGTTATTTTGGCCAGAGTCCTTCTGTCTCCCACCACCTGCACTGGATCCAGGTGCATCCCAGGACAGAGCTGACCTTCCTGATGAGTTTATCCAGCCTCTTCCTCTCAGCTGCCGATAAACTGCTGCTCCAACATACCACACTGTAAAAAATGACAGATGCCACCACAGAGTCATAGAAGGTCTTTAAAAGCGCTCCCTGGACTCCAAATGACCTCAGCCGCCTCAGCAGGTAGAGTCTGCTCTGACCCTTCCTGTAAAGAGCATCAGTGTTGTGGCTCCAGTCCAGTTTATTATTCAGGTGAACACCCACCTATAAGAGTCCACTATCTCAATGTCCACTCCCTGGATGTTCACCGGTGTCAGTGTGGTTGGTTTGCTTCTCCGGTAGTCCACCACCAACTCCTTCATTTTCCCAGCGTTGATCAGCAGGTGGTTCTGCTGACACCAGTCCACAAAGTCCAGAGTCCACTGTCTGTACTCTGAGTCGTCCTCACCTGTGATGAGGCCGACTATGGCAGAGTCGTCAGAGAACTTCTGTAGGTGGCAGCGTGGGGAGTTGATGGAGAAGTCTGCAGTGTAGAGGGTGAAGAGGAACGGTGCCAGCGCAGTTCCCTGTGGGGCCAACGTACTGCAGACCAGTAGAGTAGAAAAGCGCTATGTAAGAATCGGTCCATTTATCATGTACTTTCTTCTAATTCGATTAAGTAGTCCAAGTCTGGTTCCCTGAAAGCAAAATATAAGGAAATAAGTTGTGGTTCAAGACTTTTGCACAGCTGTATATACAGAAAATATGTTGCTCAGTTAATGTTAAACAGTCCTAGGACGTGTTACAGGTTTAACTGTGTTCTCACTGATGTGCTGATTACTGAGAATAAATACTGTTATAGGAACAACAGCATGAAGTATGAGGAAATCCCTAAATGAGGTGAATATACTAAAAAGATTAGAATAAATAATATCTGATAATTTTAATATTAATTATAACATTAAGGCTAATTGTAAAATCATTGATGCCTATGCGGAGCTTCATGTGACATCTCAGTGGGAGTGTCTTCCGTTAAAAAACCTATAAACTCACATCGTTACAAGAAAGCTCTTTATTTATTTGTTTCAAAGCCACTTTAAAAAAATTCCTCCCATTTCAAAGATTAGCACCACTTAGATAGCGCTAGCTAAAGAAAAGAGCTGAAGTAAAAACTGTCTCAGTACGTTAGTCAGGAGGAGATTTACAAAGAGGAAGCTTACCCTGTTTTAATGGCATTACTTTCATTAGTTAAATAATGTTCTGAGATATCAGTTGACTGATCCGTTTATCTGCAGGCTTGGACTGCATTTATTCAGGTGTCACATGATTCAGGTATGTGCAAAATTCCAAATTCTTCCTCAGGAGGCTGTTCGAGTCTTGATCCGCCACTCTGCTGACGTGAACGCGCGGGACAAGAACTGGCAGACGCCGCTGCATGTCGCAGCAGCGAATAACGCGCTGCGATGCGCTGAGATCATCATCCCACTGCTGAGCAGCGTCAACGTGTCAGATCGTGGTGGACGCACTGCTCTCCACCACGCTGCCCTCAACGGCCACACTGAGGTAAAGCAGCCTGGAGCCGTCTTTTTAAGCACTGGAAGTAAATGATCAGCACGTAAGCTGCAGAGTGGGGCCGCATTCGGTTGCACTTTACACTGCAGTTCACAAATAAACAGGCTGTGACGTAACCGTCCTTTGTGCTGTTCTGGTTGAATAGCTTGGTTGAAGGAAACAGGTGGGCGAGTGCAGCTGTGTCACTGGGATTATTAAGTGGGCTGTGCATTTTGAAGCACTCCTCATCTTAGACAGAATCATTCACCAGTGTGCCAGATCTAAAATTAACAATGAGAGGCGGCAGATTTGTGGAGCGGAGCTGAATGGACGGTGCCTTCATTTCTGCTCGATAGGCCCTCCGGTGTGTTTATGCGGTGACTGGGCTGAGAGATGAGATGGATTTACAATGCTGTTATAAAAAGACCCGCCCACTCACACATCCTGTTGCGCACACCTCCCTCTAATATTTCCTTCTCATGTCCTTTCTGTTTATTTCTTAGATGGTAAACCTTCTCCTCACTAAAGGAGCCAACATCAATGCCTTTGATAAAAAGGATGGCCGAGCTCTGCACTGGGCAGCTTTCATGGGTAAGAGACAGAAGTGAAGGTTGTTAAGCACATGTCACAGAGATAAAGGAAATGGAAAACCAGTCCAAACATAACAAAAACCTACCAACAAAAACATAACAACAACCTCTAAGGTCTACAAAGACATCAGCGGTTCATCGGAGCAGTGCTTCGGTGAAAAGGACGACCAATCAGCTGAGTGTCAGTGTTTCTTATAATCCCCCTTCAGGTCACTTGGATGTGGTGTGCCTGCTGGTAAACAAAGGTGCAGAGATCAGCTGCAAAGACAAACGAGGATACACTCCACTTCACACGGCAGCCTCCAGTGGACAGATTGCCGTCGTCAAACACCTGCTCAACCTGTCTGTTGAGGTCAGGACACATACACCCACGTAAACACACGCTTTTGTCCCTAATTTTCAAACAGTCCACATTGCAAACAAAAATACATTCAGAAGTTTACTTTCACTCCGAGTGCTTCGAGTGATCCCTCACAGTAGAGAGGATGTTGTGGAGAGTAGTTAGATCCTACTCCAGCTTTTCAAAATGCCATCACTGTAGCTCTGCTGTTTCAATGTGAAAACTACCGCTAACTAAATAAAAGAGGGAAAAAAAGGATACATAGAGTCAGATTTTCCTTGAATCTAAAAAGAAATCCTCAAAACATTCCTTCTGCGTGTCACTCATACGCCTGCTTGTTTACTTCAGAATGCCCTACAGAGATAGACAGACAGTCCCTTCTTGAGTGAACAGACCAATCCTAACATGACCAGCATTCATTGCATCGTTCACAAGTTAGAGCCAGCTCATTCTTATATACCTCAGAAATCTGCTGCTGACCTCAGTAAGTGAACCATTTCGTTCACTTCTTTTAGCTAGCATATAGCATAAGCATACAGTCTATTACTTTTATCTAAACATAAACTATTATCTAACCCAAATATGCCCTAAATATTTTTACTAGCTTTATTGCTTTTTAATGGAGTTATAACTGATTTGACACGTACTAGTCACGTTGAGCTGATTGTGCCGTTTTCCCTTTGCACCTTGAAAGAGTTTACCTGGTCTTTATATGTTTCTGTTTTCTCTGACCACAGATAGATGAGCCCAATGCATTTGGAAACACGCCTCTCCACGTGGCCTGTTTCAATGGTCAGGACGCTGTTGTCAGTGAGCTGATTGATTATGGGGCCAATGTCAGCCAGGCCAACAACAAAGGCTTCACCCCGCTGCACTTTGCTGCTGCCTCCACACACGGAGCGCTCTGCCTGGAGTTCCTGGTCAACAATGGGGCCGAAGTCAATGTACAGGTACAGAGAAATATAGTTACTGGCAAGACTGGAGCCCAGCTATTATTGTATATCGAGGGTAATGGTGATGTTTATTTTTATTTTTATGAAATAAAAAAATACAGACTTAAGTTTAGACACATTAAGAGGTGTTTTAGTATTCTGTGGTAAACGAGTGCTGCTGCAATTGAACCTGAAGTGTCTGTGTCGACAGTTCGAGTAGTTCAGCTCAGTTCAATTTCATTTTATCTATACAGCGCCAAATCACAGCGACAGTCGCCTCAAGGCACTTTATATTGTAAGGTAGACCCTACAATAATACGTACAGAGAAAAACCCAACAATCATATGACCCCCTGTGAGCAAGCACTTTGGCGAAAGTGGGAAGGAAAAACTCCCTTTTAACAGGAAGAAACCTCCGGCAGAACCAGGCTCAGGGAGGGGCGGGGCCATCTGCTGCAACCGGTTGGGGTGAGAGAAGGAAGACAGGATAAAGACATGCTGTGGACATGCTAGTTGGTACAACATGCTAAAGCTAAAAACTTTTTTTAGTCAATATTTTGGGCTTTCTTGAAAATGATTTTAAAGTGTTGAAATAAATGAACTGTGGCTATTTGCCGATTAATAATTAAATTTTGCAAAGTAAAGCAGAGACAGGAGAAATACCCTTCAGTTATCTTATGAGTGCTGATGTTGCATAATTTGTCCACCAAAGGCAACAGGGAAGTTGCAGAATGTTAAATGATAAATATTACCAGGATTCTAGAATGTCGAATGAGAGGATTACGAAACGTAAAAATATTCTAGAAAATACTGAATGTGACCCAAAGAACACCGTCCCCAGAGTCGAGCACAGAAGTGGCAACATTATGCTTTGGGGGTGTTTTTCTGCTAAGGGTGCTCATTAAAAAACACTGAAGTCTGAAGTCCGTGTTTCATTCGAAAGCTTTTTTTCTTCTCTGTCCACGTTAGAGTCGGGATGGAAAGAGTCCTCTCCACATGACTGCCGTTCACGGACGGTTCACTCGCTCTCAGACCCTCATCCAGAACGGTGAGACTTCTTTATGCTTGTGTTTGTCTCGCGGTGTCTTAAAGCTGCCTTAACTCCACTGGGTCATTATTTTTTTCGCGTTTTGTTTCAGGCGGAGAGATCGACAGTGTGGACAAGGATGGCAACACTCCCCTTCACATTGCTGCTCGCTATGGCCACGAGCTCCTCATCAACACGCTTATCACCAGCGGAGCCGACTGCACCAGGTTTGTTTGTTTATTTGTTGACTTGTTGAGAATTTTGTTGGTTACAATGACGTGTTATGCAGATAAAGAGATACCCATGTCTTTCTCCAAAGGCGAGGAGTCCACGGGATGTTTCCTCTTCACCTGGCTGCCTTGAATGCACACTCTGACTGCTGCCGGAAGCTGCTGTCGTCAGGTAGCTAACTGGGAAATGGTGCATGATGGATTTAGTTAAACTTAGCTTTGCCTTATTTTCTGCCCTGTGGTGCTACAGTTTCAAAGTTAGTCAAAGCTTGAAATAAAGTGAGTGTTTGTAAATGCGAAAAGTTGAGAATGAGGCAATGTAGAAGCTCAAATTGATACCATAAGTGTGTCTAATAATAATCTCGGACGAGTTTGACCTCAATGTCAGAGGTCATGTTTTCTGAACATTTTCTGAATGCAATAACACAACAAGGAAGTCAGCTAGTATTCTGAAATTGATACCTGAGTGGTGACCTTAGTGATTGCCAGTATTTTCTAACATTAGTAACAAAATTTGCTGATTTAAAATTCAAAATTCTGATATATCGTCCTATGATGTTTCCCGTCTTATTGAGATGTACAAAACATTATATTTGTCTGCCTGACCTGATACGATCAGCTGGCTGTTGTGTTTGTGGGACTTCAAACAGGTGTGGGCAACATGTGGCACATCCTCTGGTGGACAAACTATCCAACTTCAACACTCATAAGTTCCCTGAAGAAGGTTTCTCCCATCTCTTGTTTATTAAAAAAATAAATGCAGACATTGATAGACTGGCATATAGCTAACATCAGCTGATACATTGGTTGGTCTTTAGCCTGCACTACATGGTCCTTTTTTTCCTGGTGTCACAGGAAGCATTCTTTATATGTACTCGTCAGCTGGACAGAACAGGAAGTCGAGTTCACGAGCACAGAGTGTAGCTGCTCAACAAGCGCCTACAGAGCGGAGGAGGGTGAACTGGTTGTTTCTGGAAAAAAATAATAACTAGCTAGCAACAGCTGATGAAAAATGCATGAACGGATGCTATTTTCATTAACAGCATTTTGAGTCAATCAAACACAAACAGTGTTTTATGTGCTTTTGTCTAAAAAAGTGAAATTATTTGCTATTGTTTGTTGTTCCAAGAACGCTGAGTCAGCATTTCTACGTATGTGCACGTTGCCCTCAGTGTGCTGACTGAGGACTTCTGTTGTCTTAATTTCATCTTGGAGTGTAACTTCAGTGAGCGTTGAGTCCAGCTGTTGTTCTGCACAGGCACGTTCAGCTCCAGCCAAATTCAGGTCACAATGCTCCTGAAAAGACAAGGCCTCAGTCTCATTACTCATTTTCCCTCCGGACACAGTGCATCCCTGTGAATTCTCCTCTATCAGCAGTTATCTTGTTTACATCAGAAAGTTTCCGTGTTGCTTTATATCTATATGTCTATAGATGAACAATCAGAGTAATCTGCTGGTTGTGCTGTAAAATAATTTTCTTCTCATATCATCTGCTAAACTTTTTTTTCTGAAAACAGACGAAGAAACTTTGCATTAAACAAAAGTTGGGAAAAGACCCGACTTCTTCGTGCTTCCAGTTAACTTGATGATTTAACAAGGCGCCAGCGCTTGTGTGTGGATGAAACTGGGCTCCTCACATGGCTCTGCTGAGCTGCTGCAGCGAACAACAAAGAAGTCATTTACATGTGTTTGTGTGTTGTGCAGCTGCAGTACTGGGTTTGGTCAGGAATGCTGTGTTTGCTGCACCCACAGCTAAATCTTGGATTTCAAAATCCTTAATACCGTGGATCTCAAGAGTGATTTCCTGTCAGCTATGCAATTGTAGGTCTAACTCTGATAATCATGTAGATGTGAAAGAAAGCGTACACGTGTACGTGCAGCCTGTGCCAATCTGAGCCTGGACTCGGTAAGACTTATAATTCAGTGCTGTAGAAACAGCCCGTTACAAGTTTCAAATATTCTTTAAAGGCTTTTTTGTTCATTTCCACAATTTCTTTCAAATTATGACTTTGCATGGCTTGTTTTGTCTAAAGAATAACATTAAAATGAGCAGTTCGGAGGTGAAACTGAAAATGATCATATTTAAGAAGCTAAACTGAGTAAATGTTTCAGGATGGGAAGAAATGTGCACGACTTTAGCATGAGTCCACCAGTTTTAGAGAAAATGCCTTCTCGGAAATGCATCCAAAAATTTGCTAGTAATTTCTCCTCCAGGAAGAATAACTAGGTTACTCCAAAAAACGTAGTTGTGAGCAGTTTCATGGTGGACGCCATCTTTACTGAGTGACTTTGGTGTTTTCATGGTGCCGCGGTGACTTTAGCACGGGGTGGTGTGTCAAAAGAAATCCCAGTTCCTACATGAAACTACTAAGTAATCACAATGTTTCAAAAAAGAAATGACTGTTGAGTTTTGTTCAGTTTTTGTGGTGTTTACTTCATTCCATTATATTTAATGTAAAGGCAGAATATGTCTATAGATGAACAATCAGAGTAATCTGCTGGATTATTAGCAGACAAAAGGTGAACCCTATAAATGTAAACGAGCTTTACCTCTAAATAAATGTACGTTTCCTCTGATTAAAACGTCCCATGTAAACATTGCAGAACCATAATAATGGATTAATTTGATGATGACTTTATTTATCTGCGTATCTGTAAAAATCCTAATCATCCTACAGTGTCAAACGTCCATTTAATTCAAGCTGTGTTGCGTTGCGCCGTTTGCCTTGTTGCACTTTATCCTGTGAGGCTGTCTGAATGTGTCTCTGACCTGAAGATAAGATGTGTGGCTCTCTCTGTGTGTAACCTGTCCTTGTATTTTCCTCTATGTGCATGATCGTCTGTGTAACCCTCGTTTCCCCACCTGTCACACTAACCCCTGTCTCCCTCTCCGCCTCCTTCTCTTCCTCTCTCTCTGTGATGGCTGCTGCTGTCTTGTCTGGCCCTCCTTCGTTTCCCTGCGCTGCTCCCATCAGGTCGGAGGTTTAGCATAATGTGTAACGACTCGGTCCTGTCTGCAGGCTTTCAGATAGACACTCCAGACACGCTGGGGAGGACCTGCCTCCACGCTGCTGCTGCTGGAGGGTGAGTCCATTACTTTCCAGATATGAGAAGATAGTCAGTGCAGCAAAGGTCTGAGGATAAATTGCCAGGTGGAACAAATATGATAAAATCTTCCAGAAATGGAAAATCATTTGTGTTCTGACATCAGCCAGGACATGATAACATTAGCTGCTGTGGTAACGGAATAAAACCAGTGCCTGTGTTAGCCTCGGCATGATGGTCTAAATATGAGAACAAGTCATGGTGTTAATGGCATTAATTTGATTATGTTTTATTTATTGATTATGTTAAGACCTTACAACAATCACATGGCCCCCTATGGGCAGGAGCCTCTGCCAGAACCTGGCTCAGCAGTTCAGTGTTATGCTGCATGTTTTTCAGTAACCAAACATTTTCCTTTTGCCTAAGGATCATAAATCCTTCACCTGTAAGCGTCATTTTGAGTAATAACTGCCGTCTCTGTGTTTTTGTGCAGTAATGTGGATTGTGTCAAGTTGCTCCTGAGCAGTGGAGGAGACCACAACAGGAGAGATAAGTGTGGCAGGTACTTCATGTTGCTGTGTGGAGAACAGCTTTCTAAACTTTTTAAGAAACGTCAAAATAAAAAGGAAAGAAAAAAAGCAGATTGGTCTTCAAATTCTTGTGTATGGTATATTTTATTCTACTGTATATAGTATTTTATTTTATTCTATTCTGTACTTTATTTATTCTTATTATATTCTAATTTTTGATACATAACTTTTGCACTGTCCACTTCCTGCTGTGACAAAACAAATTTCCCACGTGTGGGACTAATAAAGGTTATCTTATCTTATCTTATCTTATCTTATCTTATCTTATCTTATCTTATCTTATCTTATCTTATCTTATCTTATCTTATCTGTTTCCCTTTGATTGCATTTTGAATGAAGTTACTTTTGTTGTCTTCATTTGAATTTCTCTCACTTCCAGGACTCCTCTTCACTATGCGGCTGCCAGCCGTCACTATCAGTGTCTGGAGACTCTGTTGGCATGTGGCACTGCCATAAATGCCACAGACCAGTGGGGGCGCTCCGCCCTGCACTATGCTGCTGCCTCAGATCTGGATAGAAGGTGAGCAAGCATTCAAAAACTTTACATAAAGCTGCAGCCACTTCTTTCTTTTTTCTTCTTTTTTCTTCTTATATGCTGAACTTGGTCAAGTTGTTGGCATTTTCAATCCAAAGTTATCTAATTATATTTATATTCATTTTTTTTTTTATTTCGGTTTGATTTTGAGTTTAAGTCTAAAATGCTGTGTTGTAGACAGTTCCTTGGGGGACTATGTGACTCTCTTGTTGCTTCACTCTGTTTATTAGCTGGTCTGATCTTTGTACTGAGCACACTGTGGCTTTTAAAACAGCAGAATGCTCCTTTGAGAGCCTGAGTTTGCAGCTGGATGTACTGCTAAAATAAAGCTTCAGGCAATGATCCTTTTTTCACATTGTATTCACACATTTCTTTAAAGTATTGCATTGACATTAAACCATCTTCACTACATCTGGTTTAAAAGTTAATTTAACATTTAAAGGAGAAGGCCAACTAGTTTAAAATGAGCACATTGGCTAATACTGTCACGGTAACGCTGAAGAAATAAATGCACCAATACAAGCATTCAAAGACGCTGCATGCATTTGTGTAGAAACAGTATACGTCTGGTTACTATATTACAATGATAAATACTTATGCTGATCAGTGTATAAGCAGCATTTCACTGTTGGGTTTCCACAAGGTGGAAGAAGTTATCAGTGCATCTCAGTAGATGTGTTGAGCAGAGTCCTCCACGTTTACCTCAGTCACAAAAATGAGTGGAGACAGACGTTAACAGGTTATCGAGCGCCTGGCTGGGAGCTGAGCTGAGCTCTTCACACCCCCTCCATGGTGCATCACAAATCTGGCTAGCTGTCCTATGTTACCACATAAAGAAACCTGCTGAGCCATACCTACTGTTTCCATGGTAACCAGAGGTGATGCTGTCACTGAGTCATGCATGGTCTGCAGGTTTACGTTCAGTATTAGTTCAGTTAGCGTGTTAGCAGTGGCAGGTGATGATGCACATAGTTAGGCTGTTTTGTTTTTGTTTTGTTAATGCGTGTTGTATGTATGTAGTATATTGATACTTAATGTCATCCTAGCTCTGCGCCCATCTGATTTTAACCTGATCCTCTGTTTGTCTCCTCCCTCATAGACGTCGTGTTGCTCTGGAGCCAGAGAGTGAAGGCGTTCAGGCGGAAAGGGAGAAGGAGGCAGCACTGTGAGTGGGAACAAAATCTACTGAAATTTGACCAAAGCTATGCACAAATCTACAATACATGCCAAAAGCTGAAAGGTAGAACTGCATCTGTTTAAATGAAATTGTAAACAACAAAAACGACATTTTTGAGACATCTCCAAAAAGAGATGAAATAGACTGAATACTTAGATAAAAAAAAACAGATTCACTGAAGGTAATGAATAAATGATTAGCATATAGTAGTATAGAAAATTAATAAATTCTATTACTATGTAGCCAAATGTGATTAGCTTAAAGAAATAAATCTATCAAAATATATCAAAGTAAATAGTAATGTTAAAAAATGGAACAGGAAATATAACAGGTGATTTTCACAGTTTTCTCAAAGTTTATTAATGAAAAAAAGAAACAAAAAAGGGAAAAAAAAAGAAAACAAAATTGGATAAATAAAAATTAAAGAACAAATGGCGATAAAAGACTATCATTAAACACAAAGTCTATAGCATACATGTGTGATGTGTAACTGACATTTAGCTCCAGTCAAGACTCACCACTATACATTTAAAACACATGAAACATTTAAAACGGTGTTATCTTGATGTCATAAGCGTGCGTGCTTTAAGCATGTTCTCTGTGGTTCGAGCTGCCTTCTGAAATGACATGTTTGTGTTGCAGATGTTTGGAGTTCCTGCTTCAGAGCGGTGCTACGGCCTCACTGAAAGACAAACAGGGTTACAACCCTGTCCACTACGCCGCAGCCTATGGACACAGGCACTGTCTAGAACTGGTCAGTTTACACAAACGTGTGACACATAGCACACCTTAGCCCCTTACCCCAGTGTGCCCCAACCAGGGCTATTAATGGGGAAAGAGTAGCATCAGCTAGGGATAGACCGGTGGTCACCGTAGCCTCTGAGAGTCACTGAAAATTTGCTTTATATTGTCCCCGCTCTCTGCCCCCCTTTCCTAGCTCTCTCAGTCAGTCAAATCTAATAAAAACCAAAGAGCCCCGAAACAAATCTGACATAGTATTAGCTAGCTGACAGTAACAGGTAAGCTAACAGCTAGCTAAATGTAAGTTAGCTTGTTACAATTTGCCAACAAACTAATTGTCTTTGAAAAAGTAGCAGGCTAAAAACAACAAATTTACTGATTAGTTAATATAATTTGCTAAAAACAGCTGACTTAAAAACAATGGTTTAAATGGGTAGCAAAAGTATAAAAAGGTAATGGTCAGTAATGAAGTCATTTCGATTGGACCCTATTTCTGAACCCTGACTGAATCAAACTGCCTTCACTCTGCACAAACAGGATGTCTCCAGACTAAAGTCCTCACACAGATGCTCACACTCCTGTCACATGTTGTTGAATATGGTTGAAGCCTTACTGAGGAAATGCTTGTACTGTTGGGGAGTGTCTGGAGGGAGTTTCTTTCTCTGCTGGCCTATCATGGCCTATCACTTTTTCACCACATGCCAGAAATCTGGGTGTTTTAACTCATTCACTGCCAGCCATTTTCAAATCAGGTAACTCCCCACTGCCAGGGTTTTTGAGCATTTTTACTCATTTTTGAAGAGCCACAGAAAACTGTGTGTTATGATCATATAAACGCTGAACCTACCAAAATGAAGAACAGACTCTCTTCTTTCATCCAAAAAAAAAGCTTGTTTCTACCATTTTCCATTCTTTAGTAATCAGCTGTAGAAGAGAGGTGGGTTCCACCAAAAGTGCCTGTTTTGACCAAAAAAAGGGAGAAAACAAGCTTTTTGTGACAAATACATTTCAAGCAGAAAAGTGCCTTTGACACTAATATTTCTTGCTTTGTGACACCTCTAACATATAAAATAGGTTTTCACTTCTATAAAACAGAAATAACACTGAGAAAGGTTATGTTTTATCAAAACAATTTATTTACAAATATATGAAAAAATAAAATGTACATAGTGAAACATTTATTCACAATGAATAATTCACTTTTGTGTGGTAATCATTATAACACTTTCCGGGATGCAAGGGCACACAACAAGACTTGCACCACATTTTTGTCTCACTGCGCAATCCCTTACGTCCCTTACAAGTCTGATATTCACTGACAAGCTGCCCGAGGTTGTATTCTAGCCCCTCCCATTGAAAAACGTAATTGACGTCTATAGACGTCAATGGCAGTGAATGAGTTAAGTTAGAGCATCAAGTCTTTTATGTAACAAACAAACAAAAAAGAGCTCTGAGTAAATCCCTGAAAAACAGAGCTACTTAAATTTGATAAAGCACATGAACAGACTGTGACTGTGTTCACGTTGTTTTTGTTTTGACCTCCAGCTGCTGGACAGAGATGGCGGTCACCAAGATGACTCTGAATCTCCACATGCCAGGAGCCCGCTGCACCTCGCTGTCAGTATTAAACGGATAAAAGGATTTGTAGTAGGTTATCCTTTTTTTTTTTTTTAATTTACATTTTTAAACAGTAATTTCTCTCTTCAGGCGTACCATGGCCATGCTCAGGCCCTGGAGGTGCTGCTGCAGGGGGAGAGAGAGGTAGACCAAGGGGACGAGATGGGGAGGACAGCTCTGGCACTGGCTGCTCTCCGTGGTCACTCTGACTGCGTTCACACCCTCCTCAGCCAGGGAGCATCGCCACGCACTACTGATAAGCAGTATGGACGCACCCCGGTGCACCTTGCAGGTGAGCTTAGAAACATGGAAGCATGCAATTTGGCAATTTGTAGAAAAACAGGAAACCGAAATAAGATAGCTGGTCTGGGAGACTGAATTTTCAAAACAAGAGCAAGGATGTTGTTATTTTGTTCCAAAAGATAAAAAAATTAATCAAAAATATAATTTCTATATGTGAAAAATTGTAGTGAAATCAGCATATGGTCGGTGTATATAACACTTTAATCCCTCTGCCAAAGCTTTTTTAAACACATGTGGACTGTGAAACTACAAACCGCTGATTACCAAACCCTGGGATGGTTGTTTAATTAGATGGAAATCCAAGTATAAGATGTGTTATTTATGTGGAAAATCTTTACACTAAACATCAGCATTGGGTCTCTTATGTCTGAAATTGCTTTGGCCTCTTCCTCCAGCCTTAACTCATTACTTCAGAATCATAGGAAACACTTGTTTTTCGTGCACCTCTGGGCAGGATTCTTTAGTGTATCAAAGGTCATCTTAGTTATTGTGTCCTCTTATTCCAACAATGTGAGCATCATTTGAACATACTTGAGATGCCTAACCTTTGGACTGAATGTAGCTCTCTGTAGCTTCAGATATCTGCAGTCTTAGAATGGAAGAGTCCTTATTGTTCATTTGAAGCACATGTATGTGCCGCTCACGAGCCTGGGTTGCCTATAACTACACTTCAGATGAACTAACTTTAGAGTTTGTTCCCCATGTGGCTGAAAAAACAGGTGGTTAAATACTTTTTTTCTACTGTGGTGACAGAAGTCATCACAACCTTTGTGTCACAGAGCTGATTTGTACGTTTGTGACACCTTGTGTTTCGTTCTCTTTGCAGTGATGAATGGTCATACTACGTGTGTGCGCCTCCTGCTGGATGAATCGGATAATTCAGACCTCGTGGATGTTGCTGACTCTCAGGGACAGTGAGTGACCCTCGCTCCCGCCCCCACACATCCTGTTTGCTTCGTGCGATTTGTCCCTTTCCGTTTTCCCTCTTAAATATGTCGTCCTCGTCTGCAGGACTCCTCTAATGCTCGCGGTGGCCGGAGGTCACGTCGACGCCGTGTCGCTGCTGCTGGAAAGGGAAGCCAATGTCAATGTGGCCGATAACCACGGCCTCACAGCGCTGCACCTTGGGGTGAGCGCGGAACTTGTGTTTGTGTGGATTTAGTGCAGTCTTTATTTATAATTTCTTTCATTTGTGACAAGAAAGAAGCAATAAGTTTTATATTAGGGCCTATTAGACTCCCATTAACATTTTTAGGAGGGACCTTCTTGGAAATGTGCTTTATTCATTAGAAGACTTGTAAAAAGAGACAAACAGGAAATGTTCTTTCAGATTTGTATTATAGATTCTTATATAGCTTCTGCTCTGTTGTCTCAGCTGCTGTGTGGTCAGGAGGAGTGCATCCAGTGTCTGCTGGAGCAGGAGGCTTCGGTTTTGCTCGGCGACTCGCGCGGTCGTACAGCCATCCACTTGGCCGCTGCCCGAGGCCACGCTTCCTGGCTGAGTGAGCTGTTGAGCATCGCCTGCTCTGAGGCGCCATCCTTGCCCCCGCTGAGAGACCACAGCGGGTACACACCGCTGCACTGGGCCTGTTATTATGGTTAGTGGCACCTGCAGACACGTTTTTAAATTTAAAAAAAAAAGTAAATTCAGGTCAAAACAGACAATCCTTTGTGAGCAGCACTTGGTGATAGTGGGGAGGAAGAACTCCCATTTAACAGGACGAGACCTCCAGTTAGGAAACTTTTCCCTAAAGTGTGTGTTTGTGTGTAGGTCATGAAGGGTGTGTGGAGGTCCTGCTAGAACAGAAAGGCTGCCGCTGTATTGATGGGAACCCCTTCACCCCTCTGCACTGCGCTGTGTAAGTCACACTGATATCCCGGAGTCGTCTTTTTTGCTACTGGAATAGTGTTTTTCCTGCTTTTCAGAGGCCGATTTCAGTCGCTGAACTCCTGTTTGTGTTTTGTCTTTCAGAACCAATGATCACGAGCCATGTGCATCGCTGTTGCTGGAGGCGATGGGTTCAGACATCGCTGGCTGCTGCGATGCTAAGAGCAGGTAAGAAGCGAGTGTGGACATGTCGCCAGCGCAGCTCCTCCCACGCTGCCGAGCACCATTTGTTCTCATTCCATCCTCTCTCTTCCAGGACTCCTCTTCATGCTGCAGCATTTGCCGGTCATGTCGATTGTGTCCAGTTGCTCCTTTCCCACGATGCACCTGTGGACGTCGCAGAACAGTCGGGTCGCACTGCGCTGATGATGGCGGCTCAGAGGGGCAGGGTCGGGGCTCTTGGTACGGAGTTGTTTTACATGTGCTTATGTTCAGAAAATGAGCAGTGATTTTGTTTTTTATACATGCTCTGTATTCTGTCTCGTACAGAGGTGCTGTTGACCAGCGCCAGTGCCAACCTCAGTCTGACTGACAAGGACGGCAACACCGCCCTGCACCTGGCTTGCAGTAATGTACGTCTACAAGGGGGCACCACGCTCCAGCATTAGTGTTTGGCCCAGTTTTGTGGGACCTTTGTTTACCTGTTTTACTTAAAGGAAGGCTCACAGATGAGACCTCAGTGCTGTTTACTTATGCAGAACTCTGGAGGACTTTTTAACTTGAGTCCTTCTTCTTCCAGGGGAAGGAAGACTGTGTGTTGCTGATCCTCGAGAAGCTGTCTGACACTGCGCTCATTAATGCCACGAATGCAGCGCTGCAAACGTGAGTGTGAAAATACTTTGGCCCTCATGTCTGTACATATAGGAAACACATGTGTCACTGTAAACAAGAGCTTTTGAAATGATGTATGTAAAGATTTGGTCCAGGATCAGTCCAAGTAAAATAAATAAAATTAGTTTTTCAGATACTGTGAACATTTTATTAAACGAATTTGAAAACCTGTTTCACTAGAGGTGATGTAGTTCAGTTAAACAAGAGTACTTGTGTAACCATGAGTGACATTATGTGTAACTTTCTGTCAGTCCTCTGCACCTGGCGGCTCGTAGCGGTCTGAAGCAGGTGGTCCAGGAGCTGCTGTCCAGAGGAGCCAACGTTCAGACGGTGGATGAGAACGGTACGGTAAACTCAGCACTTATCAGGGCCTGACTGCACACCTGCATGAATGTCTTCCTTCTCTCAGCATGGACTCAGCTTGTCTACTGAAAAGCTTTAACGCTGTTTTCCACGTTTGCTGCAGACAAAACAGTTTTTAAAAGGGTTACCACTCGTTGTAGAGTTAGGTGAGTTTTATAGAGTGCAGGAAGGGTTTTCAAGTGAATTTGGGGTTTGTTACATAGCAACAGACAGACAGAGATGGGTATAGAAAGCAGGCCTGTTACTGTTCGAGGTCGGCACAATAACTAGTCCACCCATATCTAGGAAAACGTAATGATCAAAGTAAATCTTTGATGGAGTGATATTTTTTGGCTTTTATTTGATGGCAGGAAATGAAAGAAGAGCATGAATTGACATAAGATTTAGAAATTGATACTTCAGGTGTATCTACTAAAAATCACAAGTTCAAATCTGAGCTCTACGGGAAGGTCAGAGGCCAGGTTTTCTGAAAATCATGCGAATGCGATACATAGGACTGTGATACCACAGGTGTTTGATACCAGGTGACTGGGGGCCAGTAGTTTTTATATGAAGCTGTGGAAACCCAGATTAAAGCTGTTCATGTGTTTTTTGTGAGCTTTCTTTGTTCTTTGTTCTTTGTTTTGTTGGCTATAGATCAATTTAAACCTGAAAGTCCATAATTGATTAGCTTAGATCAGCAATACTGGATGAAGTACTTTTGTATATATTCAGTTACTGGAGTTTTAGATTAAGTTGTAACCCCATTTCTTTTCACTACTATGGGCTAAGGATTTGTTTTATCAAGGGTAATTGTAAGAACAAAAATAGTTAAGCTATAAAAACAAAAGATTCATTTTCACAGAATATAATAATACACGCTGTTCGTAGAGCTACACGTGGACAGCTTTTTGCTAATGTCACTGAAAAAACAGTGTCTCCATACCCTGAATGAATAAAATTGTATTTATATTAGGGCTGTGCGATATGACCAAAATCTCATATCCTGATATAAGACATCTATCGTCCCGATAACGATATAAATCACAAAATTTAACATTTTCTGTAAATTCTGTGAATCTCGGGCAGCTAGACTTGCGTGAAGTGTTTCCAGCTGGGCGTCATGTAGCTGGAGTCGAGTGTTTTAACCGATGCATGAAACGATACATTTTTAGACATAAGTTGTAACGGCCGCCATTTTCTTTGTATTTATTACACGGCGTGCGGCGGGGAAAAGCCTGTTCTAACGTTTGAGTCTAAGGTTTATTTTTTAGCACCTGGCGGCTCTTTTTTGCTTCTCATCCGTAAATACTCTGCATACTCTTTCACGTGATTCAGTTTATTTTGAAAAGTCTCAACAGGATCTTGAGCTTTATTCTGAAAGGTTTATGTGGAAAATAAACAATGGTTTTACCATCGTTGTTGCTAATGACAACGCATAAAAACAGGCGCTTGTCTGTCCATAGTGTGGTTATATAAAATATAAGAGAAAGAGAGAACTTTAACAAATTAATATAGCCACTACAGTGACCATCAAAACCATGAAAAATTATTGCCGTAGACAGTTTATTTTGCGACACCACAAAACGAACGATAGTGTAAAATGAAATGACAGATGTTTTTATATCGTCATCCGATATATATCGTTATATCGAACAGCCCTAATTTATATGACACCAAATCATATGTTTAAAATGTTTAAAAACTCTTTAATATCAGAGAGAAACCCCAACAATCAGCTGACCCCCTATAAACAAGCACTTTGCGACAGTGGGAAGGAAGAACACTCTTTTGACAGGAAGAAACCTGTGGGAAAACAAGGCTCGGATGAGATTGGTAAAGTTGTAATGAAACTTAAACTTTAAAATATAAAAACACTGAATACAAACCTCCTGTACAGTTCCTTCTGCTCATCCCCAACCAATCACAGCAGGTGGATGCGCTCTCTGCCAGAGGTTACTTCCTGTTAAAAGGGAGTTTTTCCTCTCCACTGTTGCCAAGTGCTTGTTCATAAGGTTTTGTCTAATTATCGGGGTTTTCTTTCTGTCATGGTGGAGTCTTTACCTCACAATATAAAATGCCTTGAGGTGACTGTTGTGATTTGGTGCTGTATAAATACAATGGAAATGAAAAACCAACATCTTTTCCTGCAAGTAAACACATCATTTTTTGATATAAAGTCATATTTTTAATATGGGAGTCTGTTTTGCAGCTAGATGAGATGAGGTCTCCAGTTTTTATTTTATTTTGTGACTATACTGCGCTTTGTTTATTTATTGTCCACTTTGGTGTCGGGCTGCTGTTGTTGTCGCTGTCCCCTTCTGTCTGCTCACACTGTCAACTGGCTGAACTCTAACGGGATGCTGCTCCGATGCTGCTTTGCCTTCCTCCGCTTCCTCCTTGTCCACGTCTCGCTCTGTTCTTCCTTTTTGTCCGTTTTTGTCGCCCTCCCTCCCTCTGTCTCCATTCTTTCTCTCTGTCGCTCTACCTCAGGTCTGACGCCTGCTCTGGCTTGTGCTCCTAGTAGAGAGGTGGCTGACTGTTTGGCTCTCATTCTGGCTACCATGATGCCTTTCTGCTCACCTTGCAGCTCTGGAGCTCCCTCCCCAGGGTCCTTGTTGAGGCATATACCCCACCAGGGGGGTAAAGGCCTATCCACTGGCCCTCGGGCGTCACGCAGCCCCAGGAACCCCTCGGGACCATCCAGCGAGGGAACCACAGAGAACGACTCAGAGGACTCCGAAACGTTCTGACCCCTCTAAACCGACTCTCTAGCTTCCTACCTCCAAGAGTGCACGTGAACGTCTTACCTCTCTCCTCGGCGAGGAATGATGCAGTGTTTGAGTGCACAACTGAGGGAGAAGGATAGAGACTTGGTCATTCATAGAGCCCATAAAAGTTCAATATTAAATAAATAACTTGTGGACAATAATTAATCGTAAGATGAGTTGGAATATTTTCTAATAGATGGTTAAATAATATTCATATTTCTCATGTCTTCTGTTTGTTTAATATTGAACCTTTGGTGCTCCACATGCAGTGTCTATATCTTCTGTTCCTCATGTTGGGAACATGAACACGAACTGAATCGCTCTGCTTTGACGCCAGGCTGGAGACCCTGCAGCTTCTTTTTTTGTAATGCTCTTTTTTTAAAAGAAAAACCAAGATGGGAGCAGCTGCACTGCCCAGGACTGACTGACTGGAGCCCAACGAGTCGCTCCGTGAACAAGAACTCGATCTGGACCAGTTTGGGTCTGCATGCTTGTGTTAATTTACACCACGGTTCATTCTTTCTACTCACGGGTGCTTAAATCCAAACGACCTCGGTACTTAGTCTCTGCACGGCACAGCAGCTCGCTGCGGAGACTCGTGTTGTCTTTTTAAAAAAAGCCATTTTTAACTGTTTGTACAAAACGAAGGAGACTATTAAGAAATCAGAGTGTAATTTTAAACTTTTTATGATTTTAGGCTTGTTGTACCAAATATTTGACTTCCACGAGTAAATAATGAACATGTGACAAAAGGTCACATAAACAGGTACATAGAGCTTGTTTTTAACTGTTTAACAGCTGAAGCACAAATTTGTAGGTTTTTGTTTGGTTTGGATGACGTTTGGATAGAATGGGAATTGTGTGGCCTCTCCGAAAGACGTTCCTAGTTCAACTGTAGACCAGAATAGAGGATATGAAACACTAGGTACATCTCAATGACCTTTACATCGAGAAATCCAGATGACACAGCCCTGACGAAAGATTCCTCAAGCCTGATTTAGAGTTCTGTGGTAAATCATGGTAGAGCTTACCATGTGTAACCCACATAAGTGGCCGTCAGCATTTATGCTTGTGCTGGTTCATTACATGTTAATTACTAAGTGGGTATGTCCACTGATGTTTCCAGCTGATGGAAACATACTGGGTAAGCATATTTGTCCCTGAAGTTTTTCCACTTCTTTCCACATTCCCTCACGTCAATTAATAAATAAATATCCCAAGTTCATTTCAGTTCCACAGTCACGTGTGTTTCAGCATAAATTTAAATGCTAATGCAAACACTCAGGCACAAAGCTGTATTCAGAAGAGCTGAACAGTAATAATGATAGTCTGTTAATGTTAAATAAGTTAACGTTAGCCTCAAGAGGACATGGATACATGCTACGTTAGCATAATCCTGACAAATCTTTTGCTATGTTAGCCATTCTAGACGTTTCATGTTGAAGGATGCATTTATATCTGATTTAATTTTAAATTAATCAAAGCGTGGTACATTTTATGGTAGTATAGTAGCTACACAGATAAGTCAAAATCCTAGTTCAATTAAAAAAAGGATTGCATTAGCAGTGCTGTTAGCCTAAAGAAAATAGCTGCTACATTAGCACAAAGTGTTTTTACTATATTAGATCAAAGCTAGTGGTATCTAATGTTATTGTTCAGGACATTTTTCAAAACATTCAGTATTGTCAGTATGTGGTGTAAAGTCAAGAACTAATGTATCACAGGTGGAGTTGTAGATATCAGCCATGGGGGTTAGCATTGCTGCTATGCTAAAACCAGCCTGGGGGTTCTTCCAGTTTAAAACCAGACTGAAGAGATAAAGACGCTTGTGTCCACCACTTGAATGACTTCCTGTGGCCATGAAACAAAGGCTGTTCTCTTGATTCTTTGAAGCACCATCTGTACTTTTAATGGAGTGATGTGATAAGGTAATGGGGATGTACCTAGTGATGAATATAAGGTCTGTGGAGATCAGATTGAAAGATGAGATTATGACTAAGATTTATGCATTTTGTCCTCTGGCCTTGAATGGCCATCTGCACTGTTTTCACTCCATTTGCATCCCTACCTGTTGTGTTGTGCATGCTTGCACACTTCCAGGCAAAGCTTCTTTTTTTGTACTTTAATGTTTAATCGTAAATGCCCAGATTCTCAACAAAGACCAAATTTCTGAGGCAATGAAAAGCTCTGTTTAGCTCTGTTGTGCTATATATGATCCATTACACGATGGTACAAACAATGCCAGCACTTAAATGTAAATTAACACAGGGCTTTGACCACTTTCCTCACATTCCTCCCCACTGTTTGTCGCTCTGCCAGCTATGTGCCATTGTTTCGAATGTGTCCAGTGCCTTGATGAGTCTTTTATTTCTTTTATGACATATCCTGTGCTAGTAGTTGGAAAGGATGAGTTCACTATTATTGCAAAATAGGAAAAGTGTTGGTGGTACTGAATGGTGCAGATTTTAGCCATGCTTTGAGAGATTTACCTCAGACCTCTACCGTTTTATTGTTTGTGTAGGTTTTTCGCCTTTTGTACACACCAGACACTTTTAAAAGTGAGAAGAAAGTTCCAAACCAGCCGTCAGTTATGAGGAGCTGCTAAATGGATTTGAAGGTCAAACTTGTAAAACCAGACTTGATGTGCTGCTGTGGGCATATGATGTGACTGAAAGCACAGTTACTGAATGGACCTATAAATATAAATCTCACTGCAAGAAGAAAGAAGGAATACTTGATTCATTGTTCAAGTTGGGAAATGACTGAAACCGTGAAAACAGCGATCTCTTTCTCCTCTCTGTGGAGGTGCAAATCTTAAAACCTGGACAAACAAAAACTAGGCGTGGCTGAGCACCACCAGGTACCACCATTGTTTTTGAAATTGTGTGAAATTATTCTTTAATGCGTTGAGCTAAATATGAGTCGTTATGTTGTATTGAATGACAGTGTTTGACACAGTTTTGGTTGTTTTGTCACCTTAAACCTCTGAGGTCTAAGTCATCATTTTGTTTTTGAGTTTTTGGAAAAAATGTGAATTGTTTTTCGTGTTGTCAGTTGAACTGACTTTTTCTTTGGCCCCTGATTGCCAAGATTTTGGAGAACAAAGTAATAAAAAGGAAAAAATGATGTTTGCTTGCCGAGGGTAGGGTCGGGGTCACCACCTGTGACAACTTAGACCCGAGAGAGTTAAAGGCTGGAGATTTAATCCCCCTAATTTTATTGTCAACAAATCCACTGCTCCATAAATCCTTTTGTTCCTCATGCAATAAATTAAGGAGGTTTTACCGTCAGACCTCATACTCTTCCTGCTAGATGATTAACTCGTAATACTCACCCAGTTGAGTGAGTATTTGGAAGCCTTTGATTTCCAACGTATTCCGAGTGGAAAGCGTTTTAGTCTTCTGTTATTGTTACACGAGTGAGTCTTACTACAGCAAGATCGATTTCAACTTTGCAACAACGTCGAGGCCTGCGGCTCAGAGCAAGGACTTAGTTATCAGTCATTTGTTGACAATAAGAAAAAAAGACAATATCTCCAGCCGTGTGTGTGCGTGTGTGTGTGTGCGCGCACTAGCTTAGGTACTGATATGAAATCCACCTGCTTTTTTGTACATTATGTACTGTAAGGGAAAGCTTTGTATGAAGAAATCTCCATCCCAGATGGTTTTGTTTGACTTTGGATTTAAAACGTAATGAGTTGTGAATCCTGTTAGCTGCCAGATAAGCACACATATTGTTAGCAAGCACAGTCTTTACTGCCTCCGCTGTCCCTGAGAGACAGAGCCTGTCCGCCAGTATTCAACCAGAAAATGAGCTTCAGCAGGCCTGACAATCGTCGTGTGATTTTCATAGCAGTTCCTGATGCAGTACGGCATGCTGAGGGCTGTTTGTCACCTCCACTTTGTTTTATATTAACTGTACAACAATAAAAATCTGTTTGGAGTTAAAAACATGCCAATTCTTTTCTTTTTCCATCAATCTGTGAGGAGACTCATTACACCAGAGATGTCAGACTCATCTTACATTGTGGGCCACATACAACCTGTTTTGATCTGTGGGCCAGACCAGTGAAAACCCAGTTTCTGTCAGTGTAAAGAAACCTAACTACTCATGTAATCAATGATTAGTTTAAGACAGAGAAGAGTAATTTCAACAATATGTCTCTACATGATAAAGAAATGCTGCTGTAGTAAATGAAAGAAAGCACAAGTTGTGCTTACAGATTTTAAATGTGTAAAATTACAGATGTGTGTAACTGAATTACTTCAGTATACTGTAAGTGACCGTGGGGTCTTTATCAGTAGGAAAAGCTGAAAATACAGTTAAAAGTCTGACATTTTTGTCCTTCACATTTTCCAGAGCTCCCTAGCGGGCCTGATTGGAGGTTAATGGTTCTTTATTCGTCACATGCATAGTTATACAAGTATAACACAGAGTGAAATGTAACCTGACACACTCCTTGACCAGGATGTGATGTTCTGTGTGAGGATGCTCTCCACAGCGCCTGTATAGAAAATCCTGAGGATCTTGGAGAGACCCTGAACTTCCTCAGTTGTCGTAGGTGATACAGGCGCTGCCTAGCCTTTTTGGTCTGGACCTGAATGTGGGCAGCCCATGTCAGGTCTGAGGAGATGTGGACACCAAGATACTTGAAGGACTGCACCCTCTCCACTGGAGCTCCATTGATGATAATGGGCTTGTAGTCTCTGTGCTGACCCCTTCTGAAGTCCACCACCAGCTCCTTGGTCTTGCTGACGTTCAGCTGGAGGTGGTTGTCCTGGCACCACGATGCCAGATTCTTCACTTCATCCATGTAGGCCGCCTCATCGTTGTTGGAGATGGCACCCAACACCACTGTGTCGTCAGCAAACTTCACAATGGTGTTGGAGCCATGGGTGGCCACACAGTCTGAAGTGTAGAGGGAGTAGAGCAGTGGCGAGAGGACACATCCCTGAGGTGCTCCTGTGTTGATGGTGATGCTGTTGGAGAAGCACCTGCCCACCCTCACCACCTGAGTTCTGCCAGTGAGGAAGTCCAACACCCATGCACACAGACGGCTGTTAAGTCCCAGATCCCTCAGCTTTGTGAACAGTCTGCAGGGCACTATTGTGTTAAACGCTGAACTGTAATCAACAAACAGCATTCGCACATAGTTACCCTGTTTCTTGTCCACGTGGCTGAGAGTGGTGTGTAGGTCGTGGGCGATGGCGTCCTCTGTGGATCTGTTGGGTCGGTAGGCGAACTGGAGCGGATCTGTGGTGTCTGGGATGGAGGAGGAGATGATGTTCTTCAGCAGCCTCTCAAACACCTTCATTACTACCGAGGTCAGTGCAACTGGCCGGTAATCGTTCAGGGATGAGGGTTTGCTGTTCTTGGGCACAGGGATGATGGTGGATCTTTTGAAGCATGTGGGGACCATAGACTTTGCCAGGGACTCGTTGAAGATGTAAGTGAACACACCTGCTAGCTGGTCAGCACAGCAGCGCAGCAGACGGCCGGTGATGCCGTCTGGCCCCGCCGCTTTCCTTGTGTTCACTCTCCTCAATGCCGCTCGGACGTCGTGCTCCTCATTGGTCTGATTGTTGGGCTGATTCTGGTCCCTGGGCTTTAGGTTTGACACCTGCGTTACACTGTCCGTGTTCATGTTTCTCAGAGCATATGCTTTATATGGTCAATGCTACAGGCACAGCACACCCATGAAGTACAGACAGGTTGCTTGCTACCTCTCACTAGGCTCCCAGATGTTAGCCAATCACAAGTAAAGGGGCATTAAGAGGATTAATGTATGGACTATTTAAAAACAACGCAAAAACACTTGTTTCTCATTTCCCACAGAAGAAAACAGAAATGTCTGACAGTGTGCTTATTGCCAGATTTAATTATTAGAAACAGGTCAATTAATGTAATGAAGTGGTTTGGGAAAGCCTGAAAACCCCAAAACAAGCTGAAAGACACTAAAATGTTCCACAGTGCTGAGAAGAACTGGGTGAGGACTCTCAAGTAAAGTACTTTAACGGTCCCATTCATTCATCACTCATCCTTTAACAGCATCCAGTGTAACTGAAACTCTCATGATTGGTTAAACCCTGTTTTCGATCCTGTGAAATGAATGAAATAATATTAAAAACAGACAATGATCCCCAGCAAGAAGCCGGAAGTATTTTTTGATTGTCTTTCAGTTCTCTGTCTGATAAAGAGTGCAGTTAAGAAGAGCCATTGCAACATAGATGTATGTTGAGGGCTGAGGTGACAACATGTATATACAAACTTCGGTTGCTTATGTTTATAGGACCACCTTGTGTCTTCCTTTTATTTTTCATTTTTCCCTTGCTGTAAGAGCTCTGTAACTCCGACATTTCTCATCTGGGGGATAATAAAGGTTTATTCTATTCTATATTCGTGCATCTATCTTCATTAACACCAGTGGAAACAGAAGATATTGATAAGAACCTTTTAATAGTTACATAATCTCTTTACATTTACAAATTTTAAATTACATGAATGAGTCTTTTTAACAAACTAAAACTGCCACACCGACTACCGTCAGTGGCTCCACTCATGGCACTAATTATAAAATAACAGGAATCCAGAGGGTTAGTCATTAGAACCTGATTATACTGGGATAAAACTGAACGTTCTAGACTGTTTTCATAATGCCACGGATGCAGAGTGCTGGCTCTGCTGGAATGACACTGCTGTCTGTCAGGATTTAGCCTGCACCATTCTTAAAGATTTACAAGGTCCAGTGTGCTTCTAGCTCTCAGCCAGGCGTTTACAGGAAAGTCTGCTTTGTGCACAGCGGCTGTGTTTCTGTTGATCAGTACTCAGTCTCAGCAGTTAGTTCCCAGACCAGTCCAGTGGTCAGGGACCATCAGGAAGTATTTGTCCATGGCTTCGCAGAAGCGAGCTCTGTACAGCTCCGGAGAAACCACAGTGGGCATCTTCCCTGGAAACAAAGCACAGCAACACGTCAGAGGAGAAGGAGGATTGTAATTCAGCTGGAAGTACACCGATGAAGAAGAAAAACAAAAGCATTCTGTCATATATACACATATACATTTATATTAAACTCTACCTAAGCACTCAAAGTGTTTTATAAAACTGGCTGAAGTTTAAATGATTGAAGCCAACACATGAACCTCCTGTGAGCTAAAAGCTCAGGCTTCATATGTTGGAGAGTAACTCCACTATTGCCACTTTCTCTCTGTTGTTCTCATTGGCTTTGTGTTAAAGTTTATTTATCTTAGGTTTCACATCTATGTGCTCAGATTTGACACCGAGCTTTAACACTAAGGGTGACTTGCTGTTTCACAGCCCCTACACGAGCTGGACACAAATATCTAAGGCTACGTTCACATTGCAGGTCTTAATGCTCAATTCCAATTTTTTGATCAAATCCGATTTTTTTGTCTGCTTGTTCACACTACAAATAAAATGTGACAGCAGACGTGCTCTAGTGTGAACCCTCAAAGTGGCCCGCATGTGCAAAAGAAGACGTCATACACAACGCGCTCTGTTTAGACCCAGAGCAAACAGGATTTGCCTTAAAATCGGAAGGTTGCCGGTTCGAGCCTCGGCTTGGACAGTCTCGGTCGTTGTGTCCTTGGGCGAGACACTTCACCCGTTGCCTACTGGTGGTGGCGCCAGTGTCCGGCAGCCTCGCCTCTGTCAGTGCGCCCCAGGGTGGCTGTGGCTACAATGTAGCTTGCCATCACCAGTGTGTGAATGTGTGTGTGAATGGGTGGATGACTGGACGTGTAAAGCGCTTTGGGGTCCTTAGGGACTAGCAAAGCACTATACAAATACAGCCCATTTACCATTTGCCGTTTCCCAATTTAGCTTCAAGTTGTAAAGTTATTTTGTCATTTACATATGGCCTGATAATGATCCTTATTGCTGTTTTAGAGAGGAGCGGTGCTTCAAAGGATAGTTGCAGATTTCTGTCAGAATCTGCAGATTATACAGTACAAATAAAATGTTCACGTTTCTCCAACGTTGTCTTCCCAACAGTTTCACTGACATCTACACTGGATGGCCAGGAAGCGTTCGCGATGTCTTCTCCGGCGCTGATAATCGGCGTCTGTCTTGCGTCAGTGACGTAAAAGACGGATTTAATGCGACATGACCGTTCAAACAGCAGTTGCTTTCTAAAACATCAGATATGTATTGCATTCAGTACCACATATGAAAGTGACCCAGATTGGATTTGAAAATATCAGTGTGAACGTAGCCTAAGTAATCCATCCCTCCATATGCAGCCATACTTTCTGTGGGCTTTATGACATTTACCTTGGCCTCCGAGGATTCCAGTGGATTTAACAACCATTTCCAGTCTCTTGTCCCAGGTGAATGTCCTGATGTAATCTGCAGAAACGAGAGAGGGGAACAAATTAAAACAAAACCCCAACAAAAGTCTCCGAAAAACGCTTCTCCTCCTCCTCTCACCTATAATCCCAACGACCAGCTGCTCGGTGGCGTCGTCCCGCCCAACCAGCAGGGAGTAGTCGATGATGAGGTGGCTAGACAGGAAGTAGGCGTCGCTGTGAATGGCAGCTCGTAAGATGGACTTGCAGTGGGAGCGGATGTAGAGCGGGTTGTCGTGGATCAGCTTCAGCAAGTTCTCGTCCAGCAGGACCACCTCGCAGCTTTCCTTGCCCGATTCTGTCTTCACATTGCGGTTTCTCAGCGAGCCTTTGAGGTCGAATACCTGCAGGGACGTCACAGCATCAACAGAGGTCAAAAGGTCCTCATGATCCGAACAGCCACTACTGAGGAAACTGTGATGGATCTAAGATTTGTGTTAGACCTGTAAACACGTTTGTTCACACTTTGATGAATTATGGACAAACATGTTACAAGTATTGTCCTTTCCATGTTCTACATCAAGAATAAACGGTGTGTCCTGTCTGCACTGAGAGGCAGAGTGACACCACATCTCTGACCTGAGCCATCTTGCGTCCATAAAACAGGTTTTCCATAACAAGGAGGTCCAGCTTCTTCTCCGTGTTGTTCTGAGAGTTCTTGTAGCCAATCCTGTACACACCCAGGATCTTCGCCAACGCCGTCGGCCGCTGTGGTGCAAACACGCTCGTTACTCATTTGCAATCAGATGGTTAGAAATGGTGCGAGTGTTTATGATGCATACTTTCTGCTGCACAGCTCCTGTGATGTAGGTAAAGTAGTGGGGTGCAAAGTCCAGGAAGGACTGGACCTCCAGTCTGGGCATCTGCTTCAGGATGAAGCGGTCGTCTGACAGGACACACAGCAGGACTTACATCAGAGGAAAGAACAAAACATGCATCCTGAAGTGTCTGAAGCTAGCAGAGGTTTGGCGTCGTTTCCATTATCAAAATACTTAGTGACCAGGTCCCTAAATCAGAGAGCATGTGTGGAGCATACCAGACGTGTTTTTAAAACAAATAAAGGTTATTTTATGGTCCTTGTATTCATTTTCGTATTCTTTTTAACTTTGCCTTCAGCTGATCCGTAGGTTTGGTAGGGCTGCATTCATAGGTGGGAGCATATTTCTAATCAGGCCCATTAGAGCCAATCAAAATGTGGGAGAGGTGACTCAACGTGTGGGGCATAAACAGACTGTATAAAAACAATGGGCACAGCCACTGTGACATGGCTTTTGTGGTTAGTAAGTAGCCGTAGGGTTTTCGCTGTTGCCATCTTGGTGACTTTCAAATTGAACATTACGAGCGTGGGGGAACCCGAGGGACGCCGCACACTCACTGACCAACAACTTGTCCATAACACGGTAGCCAGGGATGAAACCACCAACGTTCTGGTTAGTAGATGACCTGCTCTACACCTGAGCTACAGCCACCATCATTACACAGTCCTAATAAAGCAGGACACCTCAGTGCCTGCCACACACAGATATAGTGTTTACTTTATTATTTGCCATATTCACAAGTGTCACGATGTTTTGCGTGCATTTTGTACTTACTATTTTATTTAGAAAAGCACAAGCACGCTTCCTTTTACACATGTGCACATACATACTTGTGCAAGCTCATGTGCCCCTTTTGTATCTATGTTGTATCTGTGAGGATATCAGCCCCAACCTTCTGTTGCGTAGAACACAGCTCCAGATTTCCCCCCACGAGCCTGCCAGTTAACGCAGTGGGACAGCGAGCGGACGAAATCCTCCTCACTGCTCTCCATGATCTCCTCTCGCATCTTGTGAAACTCCTTGGCGTAGTAGACCCGACAGTAGAACTTGGCGTTGGCATCGGAGAACTCTGAAAATAAGAAGGCAGTCAGGAACAGCAGGCTTAGACACATTTATCAGAGGGATAGCATTCAGCTTGAACCAAAGAGTGTGCAACACAGTAATGCAGTGGTTAGCATTGTGTCCTAACCAACAAGGTTTGGTTTGACGTCTGCACGTTCTGCCACAGTGAGCGTGAAGCCGTGAGGTGACCTGTCCAGTGTGCACCACTCTCAGCCCCCGACTGGAAAAGCAGTTAAGAAAACAGTAATAATAAAACACTCACGCAGCTCAACGTGTGGATTTAGGGCCTGTTTCTTCTGCTTATCTGCTGAGTCGGCCTCTTCTGCACAAAACAGAGACAGAATTGAAACATTGCACCTCCAGGTACGCCTCTACAGCCTTTGCTCTTTCACTGACTTTGTGTTGTATGTGAACACTTACTGAGAGAATCTGTGTCTGTGCTGCTGCGACTCTGCTGTGATGCTGTCGTCTCGGTGGGCCTGGCAGGGCTGCTCTTAACCCGGCTCTCTCCACCACTGAGGACCAGACAGTAGAAAACTCGACTCACATTTGAATTCATTTGTTTAAAATTTGAACCATTTGAGTTTTAGATTAAGTTTTGTTCTTACACTGCTGGGCTTTTCAAACCATTACTATCCTCTAACACAACACAACTGGAAGCCCTGTAGTGGCTGGTTTGGCCACTTGGGGGCAGCAGCAACAAGTCCTGAAGAGTCATGTTAATGACTTCAGTTGATATGCTTGGCTTATCGTCATCACTTTATTATCCAACATTCACTTAGAGTCCAGTATCAATTTTGGTCTCCCCCATCTCCCGAGAGTCTAAAGGTGCTAAATGCTCCTATTTAACCACAATCAATACATATATAAAAATAACTATTTTAAAAATGTAGATTGTGAGAAATTGGCACTTGGGCTGTTGGCTGGAAGAAGTGAGCCAACAGCCAGATTATTCTGTTTTGATTTGTGTGATGATGCCACTTCGTTACAAACGAAAATAATGGGATTGGAAAGCTGCGAGAGATGCTCCGTAACTAAACTGGGGTTAAAGAGGATATATGAAATTAAAGTACCTTAGCATTTTAAATGATTGTTAACAATAAGGACGTTACCTTTAATTCTTCACCATATTATGATGTATTGTGTTCATTAATTAAGTGCAAACATAATTAATAGATAACAGAAATAAGCTAACAGCTGCACAGTGGATTTTGAGGCACAGAGTTGAAGCTCCGGTGGGAATGCAGCGTACCTGCTGGGCTGTGAAGCCTCGTCTCCTCCTGCGTTCGACACCTTAGACAGATCATCCAGTGCTGTTTTGTACTCCTTGCAGCTGAATGGTGACAATCGTATATTTTAGCATATTTTTCCAAACGTGACATCAATAGTGCCAATTTAAAAACAGAGAGGAGGGAAGCAAGTGGTCACCTGAGGGCGAAGGCGATGATGGAGCTTGGCTCTCTCTCGCACACTGCGATGGGAACCCGCTCATGTTCGTACATGAGGTAGTGCTTATCTGGATCACTGTAAACATGTGACACAGCAGTCAGAAACAACGCCTGCTGAAGGTGAGGTGGTCCACGCCTCTTTGGGGTTTTATTTTGGATGGCTAAAGCAAAGTTGGGAATTATTTTAACTGGCTTCAACAATCACGTTTTCTTCATTTATAATAACACCCCACCCTTTATAGCAATAGCTTCCTAGCCTTAGATGATAATCTAGCGCTCCACCCTCTCATCTAAACTGGATCACTTCTGGATCAAAAAGCAACATAGTGGAAGCTAAAATGCTAACGCTGAGTCTAGTCCAAACACAAATGGCTTATGTCATAGTGGCCTTGTCCATCTTTTAAGTACAGTACACTATTTTTCCTAATGGTATTGTTTACTATACAAGTATCTAATTCTCTATTTACTATCAAATATATCTACCACTTCAGCCAATATGTGATCAGTGACTAAGCGAACGGCCCGCAGACCTAGAGCACCGTACTTACAATGGGAAAGGGATGGGATTGTAGCTGTTTCCAGGGAGGAAGTTGGCGAGGATTGCTTTCATGGTGGATTTTTCCTTCACCTGGCTGTCAGTGGAGCCCAGCAGGTGTCCGTCAAAGACGTCTGAAAGTGAGCACGCACACGGCATGTAGAGCAGGGGTAACGGTGCACGAAATACGATAAAGATTAGAGGAGGAGTGCGAACCTTCTGACATGCTGACAGAGTCCTGCTCGATAAAGGAGGGGACAGGTGTGACCGGCTCGGCTCCAGGATCTCCTGGTGATGGCAGCAAAGAGGAAACAGTGGAGGAGGACAGCGTACTGAGGTGACGGTCCTCTGCCAGACAAGAGAGGGGAAGAAAAAACAAAGTGTCGCAAACAGCTTCATTGAGTAAGGTTTAACATGGAGGGATATTACTGATTGAGCAGATCTCACCCTAACCTGGAAATTGTAGAAAAAATTATTTATGCTTTTATCTTCTGAAATCTCAAAGCTCCCCGCTTTCTGACATGAATAAAAACAGTTGCTGTCTCTTGAAGTTCTTTTCTGAACTGAGCGTTTTTCATATTCTAGGCTCGTCTACATAACGCTTTGCATCATAAGTTAGTGAGGGTGGTGTCTGGTGAGAGTTAAAATGAAACAGAGCTTTTACCACGATGATCCCCGACTTTTATATTTACATGCTTTTTTTCCTTTACTGTTGTTTTAACTCTTTATCTCAACTCTACTTTAAACGAGACCTATTATTATTTCCAGCTTCATGTTTATCTTAAAGCTTTACAAGAGCAGCTTTTCACGACTGACAATTTAAAAACATTCCTACTGTGCCCTGGCTTCTTTGTCACTTTCCACTCCCTTTCTAGTAGATCTATTTTGATTGGCTGCTCTGGTATAAGCCTAACCTTCCAAGTCTAGCGAGGGAGGGACCTTTTTTTTAATGGAGAAGATGACTCTGTCGCTGAGAAAGGAAATAACTTTTTACAAAAGTGGAAGAAATGGATTGCCTACACCTCCCCTCAAGAGGACACTACCTTTTCATCTTGATGCAGGCTCAATCATCCAGGTAAGTAAAGGGTTAGTTCATCTGGACGTAGCACTTTCAGTGGGAGAAACGCTCAGCTGAGACAGAAGAAGTCACTCGGATGAGTGACGAAACGTTTCTCCCAATGAAAACGCTGCGTCCAGAGGAACAGAATCAACCTTTTGGGATATTACCTTCTTATAACGTAAATGCTTGGGACTCCTGGGACAATATGCACCAAGTATCCCACTGGTTCTTTTTTTAAATAAACTTGTCAAATCTAAACAAACACACAGAAATCTGAAATCTAAACAATTGAATTCATATCTGTTTTATTTTTATAGCGCCAAAACACAACAACAGTCACCTCGAGGTGATTTACATTGTAAAGTGAAGACTTCACATTAATACTTTAAATGAGAAGTCTCAAAAGCACACTCAGTAAAGCAGTAACTCACCTTTCTCACCATTTTGTACCACCGGTGATGGGTTACGAGGGGAGGACTCCACAGCACTCTATTAAAACACAAAAAGATTATTGTTATATCGCATGTACGGGGACCATGAAGCTACAATATAAGCTTTGTTCAAACCCACAAACAAAACAGAAAGAACGTCTCAAATTCTTTCTAATTGGTTTGTTGTCAAGTTACACAGTGAGGAAGAAGATGTGGAGAAGAATTCCCTTTAGGAACCTTCAATAGAAACCGGATCATTAACATTAACCTTTATGAACGTCCCTTTCACGCGTCCCTCACACCTTGAAAACCTTTGTTCTGTGAATAGTGATGTAAACTCAGATTTTTAGGTTGAGTTTTGGATGCACCACCCATCCACAGTGTCCCAATACTGATGCTGACTCCTGTCACTATAGTCAATAATATTACATCACAAGACTACATGGTTAAGAAACACAAACAGCCCAGGTCTCTGACTACACAGCGTGTAAAGCAAACGGGTGACTGAGTGAAGTGCATGCAAACATTCACTGAATGATGCTACAGACCTTGCTGTCGTCAGTGGTGTTTGGCCTGTGTCTGCCTGGGCTGGGGGGTACAGACAAGCGCTTCTTGCCTTTCTCCTGCTGGAACAAATCCTGAAGTCTGAAAGTATGAAATCAGGATTAAAACCAAGTGTTGGTGTTGCTATGGTGACATGACATTTTTATTGCATGGATGATGTAATAAAGCACGTGTTGCATATTCTCCGACTCTCACCTGCTGTTCCAGGACTGCAGCATCTCGCACAGACTCTGTTTCTTCACCACCAGCGACTCGAGAACAGCCTGCAGCTGCTGAGGAGAATCTGAGCCGCACACCTGCAGTCGAACCTGAAGCTTTTCGATCCAGCTCCGCAGCTCTGCCTCTTCCATCTGCACATAAATACCAACATGAGCCCAAGACACCCCCTGCAACAAGAGACGCTGATGTGGGGAGAACCTACATCTTTCTGAGCGAAAATGTCCTCCATCTTTTCTTCACGTGTCTTACTGAAGGTTTCAGTTTTCAGGGATGTGAGGCGGTCATCGATGGCCAAGTACACCTGCGTGACTCTGGGGGAGGGGATATTTGCAGGTTACTATAAACATGCTACTACACCCCTACCTCATGCACTGAGACCTTGTTCCAGTGTTTAAGTAAGTAAAAACCGTAACAATCTAAAGGGTACCCTCCATAATAGTCATATCAATTATCCGAAGTTGAGGTATATCAGATCTCATATCTGCAATTCTCTTAACATTACAGCTGTGACATAGGATGTAGTGGTAGAAATACACTAATTTCTTGAGCTGAAGCTAGGTCAGTGGTATTTACTTCTGAGTGAAGTCCTTCAGGTCCTGCTGCAGGTTGGTTTTGGATGGTCCCAGGTTCCTGATGAAGATCTTGGGCCAAGGAAGACAAATCTCCAACAACTTTATAGACGTGTAGCTGAAGAAACAGGAAAAAACAGAGTCCCATATTTGAAACTGTTGTCATTAAAAGTGCTTTAAGACAAGTATTGTTGTGAACCATTTATACAAATACACTTTAACTTAAATGAATAGCCATGTGTAAATAATTACTACATTAAGGCCAAACTCCTGGTTATTATCATAGATATAATCAATAAATAGTTATGGTGGAATTTGGTAATTATAAGGTAAGGATATGTACAGTTTCTGGTGCTATTTATGTATTATGTGTTTATCAGAATTACTATTGCTACAAAGAAGTAATCAAACCATGCAAACAAGCAAACAAACATTTATTGGGCCATGGAGTATAGAAGGTGGATAACACAATTAACCTGTAAACTGGATTTAAAAGGGAGTGAACAACAAATTACTGAAATGTGTGTTTTTGTGTGTCTGTGTACTTTAGTAGCTGTACTGTCTATCATGAGATGTGGCGTAATGTATATTATTGTCAAACGTGTGTGTTTCGTCATTGTTTTATTAAGAGAATCAATATTGGATGCCTGTGATCTTCAGGTCCTCAGAGGCCCTGCGTTAAAAACAGGCATGATTCTGTCACTGCACGTCTGTGAACTCACCATGCCATCCACAAACGCAACTCTATCATGCAATGAAGAAGCTAAACAGAAACCAGAGCCAGAGCTCAAAGCTTGTTTCAAAATGACTCGGGAGAAAATGAAAACTGTTCTGGGGTCAGACAAATCCAAAAGGTAACCTGGAATTGGCAGCTTTCACATTGGGAAAGGTATATACAGGTTTTAGGGAGCAGGTCTTCTGCAGGGAATTGCTTGCATATTGCAGCGAGACAATAGTGAACTGCATACTGCATGTATTACAACAGTATAGTTTTGTAGTAAAGAGTCCGGGTGCTGAACTTGCCTGCAGTCCAGAACTTTCACCTACTGAAAACATTTGGCTCATCATGAAATGAAAAATAGGCAAAAGAAGGCTGCTGAGCAACTGTTCTCCTCAGTTACCAAACATTTAAGAACTGTTAAAACAAGAGTGGATGTCAAACATGGCCCTGTCCCCACTTTTTTCAGACTTGTTGCTGACATCAAATTTAAAATGCAACATTTTCCCGGTGTAAACGTCATGTAAACTGTGAATAAAATACAGGTTTTATGAGATTCATGAGATCATTGCATTCTGTTCTCTGACCCATTTGTTGTTTGACACTATAATGGCTATAATGCAGTAGTGTGAATGACTACCTGAAGGAAGCCACCATCTGGTTATATGAGAAGTACTGGTGGTAGTCTTTGTGGATGGAGTGCCCGCAGGGCTCTGCATTAGCCCGTCTGGAGTACTGGTGACCATAGAAGCGAAGTTCCAGGTATTTGGCAAAAGACATACACCACGAGTCATTGGAGAGAGGAACCACCGGTGTCACCTACAGACAGAGAGAAGAGAAGCATGGTGAGAAGACCGGGTCACCACTTTCATTCATTCACTCATACAAATAGTGGAATTTTCAGTGGCATCACATTTGGCAGAGTACACCTAAGATACAAACACAGCAGAGGACACTTTAAGCTGCTTTTGACTGATTAATTGCTCGACCATAGAAAACGAACACACACACCATACAGTAAGGCCCCAGATGGTCTATCTGAACTGTTACTGACCTGCTTGCAGATTCGGCACCAGGAGTAGTTGAGAATTGTGTGCTGATAACCAGGCACAGGGGAGTCCAACTCCTTCAACACAATCTGCACACAGCCGTTGCCGTGCACAAACCGACGGACGTGATGCACCATGGGAGTCTCACAGAACATGCTGGGGCACTGGTAGGATGGCCTGCAGGTGAACATCCACACAAACACATTACAACATGTTCCAAGAATCCAACTTTTTAAATCTCATCTCATTAATCTAAGGCACGTCTTTGTTGTCGTACCTGAAACAATATCGTTCCAGGAAAACACCCAGAGAGAGGTCGTTCTTGCCATAAAACTCCATCGTGACAATCCTGTTGACAAACACAGGGCAGTGACTCCAGGTTCTCTCTTTTATTTCGGATCATATTTACAGGTTATCTCTGTATGACCGGTTTACCATGGGCTGACACAGGGGTTGGGTGCATTGTTGGACTGAATAGATGAACTACTGAAAAGCACACACAACCTCTGATGGTTGATGGGATTCAGGCAGTCCAGCTGAGGATGAGAAAAGTAAAGAATAAGTTCAAACACCTCGATACACTTCTTAAATCAAAGCTGAGGAGTCCTGGCTCAGCAGTGCAACTAGGATGCAAAGGCACTTTCTACTAAAAGGTTCCCTTGAATGTGCTTTTGCACATTAGTTCAGCCGTTTCTATTACCCCTACAGACAGGCAGCTAAACACACGAACCAGTGACAGCATCAAGCATAATGCTGAGCAATTTGTACTACAAATATACTATACGGTCAAACGTACTGGGACACCTACACGTGACGTCTACAGATGCTGCTCAGCCATGAAAACCCATGACATGAAGCGGTTTTGTGCTGATGTTAATGTCGGAAGCAGTTTGAAACACAGCTTTTACTTTTACTATGATGTCAGCGCTCAGTGACAACATCTGTATCTTTATAGAGTCTGCCACTTCATGGCAGCATTGCTTTGGTTCCTACATGCATCCAGTCTGCAATACCACTCAAAGCATTGATTGTAAAATATCTAGAAAAAAAAGGCATTTCACAAACTGACCTGTGGCAACAGAAGCATCCTGTTACAGTATCGCACTCTAATTCAGTGAACTCTTTAGAATCACCCATTCTTTATTAATGCTTGTAATGACAGACACTGTTGCCAGCTGCTTGATTTTAAATACCTAAATTGAACTGCAACAACCTGAATTCAAAGGTCTCGCCCAGTACTTTTGAGTAGGGCTGTTCCACATAAAGATATATATCGGATGACGGTATGAAAACATCTATCGTTTCATATTACGCTATCGTTTGTTTACGGTAATATGTTTTCATGGTTTTGATGGGTCACTGTAGAATTTCTTAAGTTTCTCTCTTTCTCTTATATTTAATATAACCACACTACGGACAGACAAGCGACTGTTTTCATGCGTTGTCATTAACAACAACGACGGTAAAACCACTGAGTGGCTCCGCCGTCCGCTTGCTTATTTTCCACATAAACCTTTCACAATAAAGCTGAAGATCCTGTTGAGATTTTTCAAAATAAACCGAATCACGCGAAATACTATGCAGTGTTTACAGAGAAGCTAAAAAGAGCCGTCAGGTGCTAAAAAATAAACCTTAGAACAGGCTTTTCCCCGCAGCACGCTGTGTAATAAATACAAAGAAAACTGCGGCTGTTTCAACTTATGTAACACTCGACTCCAGGTACACGAGCCCAGCTCAAAACACTTCGCACAGTCGAGTTGCCTGAGATTCACAGAATTTACACAAAATGTAAATTTTGTAATAGATATCGTTGTCGAGACGGTAAATGTCTTATAGCTGGATATGAGAATTTGGTCATATCGCACAGCCCGACTTTTGAGCACATAGTGTGTGTTTGCATTACTGCAGTTCATTTAAACCTCCAACAGTCAATTCACTAAAATTTCACAAAGAAAGATATTCCAAATACGGCAAATACAGAATCTTGTGCACTAAACCCACCTTTTCCTCTGCATTTCCACTGATTTAAATTTGGTGTGTGGTGAGAAAATATTTTAAATGATAAGACCATTTGTATCAATATAGCTCCATATATGGACATGTTTTTGCCCTAAATAGACCCTAGTAGGCTGCGTCCTTCAAACTGTTTTTTTTAAATATCTACAAGTAAATACTCTTTTTGAAGATTTAAACCTAGTTCATCTCAACAAACCTCTGAGAAATAATGACAATGAAATAAACAAACAATAGACAATTTCACAAAGGAACAACATCAGACTTTTAGTATCTGTTTAGATTCTGTTCCTCAGCTGAATTCACCAGATAACGATTGAGAAACTGAAACCTCAAGGCTGGAACTCATGTTCAGGCAGTAAATACACATCACACAAGCATACATCATTTATCAGAAGTTACAAATATATGGAGGCTAAACAAATAGTGTCTCACTGTGCTTGGCAGTGTCAGATTAAAACATTTTGATGGTTTGAAATTCTGTTCTGGTGAAGAATGATCGGCCTTACGTTGCTCACCTTGGGGGCCCAGTTCATCTCGCTCTGTTTGCTCGGCCTCTCCTCTTCTCCTTCGCTCTTCACTGATGGTTTGCCTGGTATATCAGCCCCCCGGCTCTGGCTACTGGCAGCAGCTGTGGCAGAGTTGAAGGGGTCATGGGTTTCTCTCTGCCGGATGCGACCCCCCTTTGCTCTGTAGTCTGCCAACATCTCGGCCAAATTCTGACTATTGCTCAGCTGCTCTACAATGCGGGTGCTGGTCAGACTGTGACAAGGCAGGAACTCAATGGGCCTCGCCTGCACAACGCCGTTGGTCTGTCCTCCAACCAGTGAGGAGGGGGCTGAGTCTTTAAGGAGCTGCCGTTTTCTGCGCACGTCCAGTTCCTTCAGGTCCTTGTTGAGGAGAGGAGAAAGGTAGACCTACAAGGCGTGGAAAAACTCAAATTAGTGGTCTGTGAATCAGGGAAAAATTCGGAAACAGCGCCAAAGTGCAGGCAGGAAACTAAGTAAACTAAGGTACCTGCTCAGGAAAGTAGTCCCTGCTGGGGCAGTGCATGCCAGCTGGTGTGAGAAGGAATGGTTCTTTAAATGTGATGAAGGGGGAAATGCACAGGATGACGTCCTTGAGCTCCTGCTTGAACACTGCAGAGATGGACTTCAGGCGGTCGTCAGATGAAGCCACCTGCTCTGCGACAAACATCCCCGTGTCATCCTGCAGGGGGTCTCTGAACAACTTAGGAGTTGGTGTCTCTGATCCATCACCATCCTCTAAACCTAACGACTCCTGCTTCAGCAGCGTTGCCTCTCCCCCCATATCCCCATCAGATGCTGCGATCAGCGTGTCGGAGCCTGTCATCTCTTGGTCTTCTTCCATGAGGAATGGAGGGGACACAGAAAAGGGCGGTGCAGGAGGGTTGGAAAATGGAGAGGAGGTCCTCGTCGCTGCAGGAGCCTCATCCTTTCGGACAGATGGGGTAGGTGATTTTGGGTTCAATTTGTCTTGGAGAGCTTCTAGGTCTCCATTTTTAGATGAAGAGTCTAAGGGAAGCCCTTCATCCTCAGTCTGTGCTGCAGATGCAGAATCTTCACTTCCTGCAGTTTTCCCTGGGCTCTCTTCATTGTTCTCGCTCCCTGGACTCTCTCCATCTTCCTCTTCCTCTGAAGCAGCGGCGCCTTCCAGCAGATAGGGGAACGAAGTGCTTTGTGCCAAGCTGGGTGGCATGGCGAACTCATCCATGAGGAACGAGATCTCCAGCTGGGAGTGGTAGGCCACGCATACCATCAGCATGATGATCTCCTTCACCCTGGCCAGCTCATACTCTGAAGCACCACGCAGTTTTATGGAGCATCCAAGATGAGGAGGGCAGCCCTCAAAGAACATCAATGTCTTCACCTCACCTGGAAGGACAAAGAGAGAGAATGACAGCGTGCCTATCATTGCAGCAGGGTCCACTGAGAGGAGTGTGTGCTTCTTACTGTTTGCCAGTATAAAGGGCTGCATGTAGAACTTGTGGCAGGTCCCCAGACGAGGTTTGGTGAGGAGCTGGTCCATGGACATTACCAGGTCTCCCTGAGTCATATGACTCACTCGGTCCAAAACTTGCTAAAAAGGAGGGGAAAAAATGAACACTTGAGCAAAGACATTTCCTCAAAGACATTTCTAGCAGGTCCATTAGATGATGATGATGTTCCAGACCAAGCTTTGTTTCTTTAAAATGTATGAATCAGAGTAAAAGAGCATACACACAAGAAAAGTCAAGAAGCAATGAGGTGACCACGTACATTATACACTAGCAATGTGAAGTGAGAGGACAACAAGTTACACTAATCCCAACACTGAGGCAGGAGACTGATCAGACCACCAACTTGAGCAAAGAAAACCAATGAGCTGTGGTAAATACATTGGAGGGTTTCCTATACACGTGAAATGCCACAAATATTAAGTACAAAGCTGACGACGCTGACGAACGCCATAAGGAGAAGGGGTTTATTCTTCCCTGTTATTAGTAGACACTTCAATTGTTTCATCTCACAGCACAGACTTTTTACTAAAGATGGAGAAAGATGAGTCTCAAAAGTTAAGAAAAAGACAGTAGAGGGTAATTTCTCTGGTTGCGAAGAGAAATCTGGTTATACCGACGTCTATGAGAAAATGACCCTTCGGCTCCTTTGATCCATGACCTCGGTAAACACTTTCCGCTTAGAGTACAGGAAGACGGGATACATGGCATTCTTTGGGGCTGTCCCACCTTGTGATCGACAAGTTATGTGTTACACTGCCAACGTTTACATGGTCACAGGCATCTCCCTCTCAGATCCAGTGTCGCCAAGTGCTGGATCACAGAGGTCATGTGATTAATGGGGTTTTGCGTCATCGTAGGGTCTTTACCTTACAATATAAAGCAGCTCAAGGCGACTGTTGTTGTGATTTGGTCAGCCGTCATGACTACATCCATTTTTTACATGCAGATTACATCTCAAAGTTGACAAATTTAACTTAGTGCCCACCTAAGTGCATCACAGTGATTTATTTATTTCAGACCTGCATGTCCAGCACCTTTCCACAACATTTATCAAGGCAGGATGTGATGCCTCTACCAATCTGCTGTGATTTTGGCTGCACTCAAAACCCAAAACTGTGATAAAAATGAGCAGGTGACAGAAATTTTATAATCTTACCAACTGAAAGAATTTTATTTCTCGGTGTATTAAATGTGCATACAACATGTTATATGAATACTTTTTTCTCAGTTCACCATTAATGCCACTGTCACAGTGCTGCAAAAGAAACTATTACTGAAACTGTTGTTGGTAAAGGTAAAACTAGAGAAAGTAAACTATATATTTCAAGTGGAACACTGACGTTAAACTGACCGGTTTGACGTTGATGACCAGTGTGATGCCATGCTCTAACAGCATGTCTTGAGCAATACGAGAAACCGTCTTCTCCACCAACACCAGGTTTGGACGGACATCCACGATGCGCTGCACATAGTTCTTCAAAAACTCTCGCTCCTGAGGTGGAGACAAAGAAAGCTTCTTTCAGAAAAGCACAGAAAAGGCTCGTTTCCTCTGCTGTTTCACTGCTGGAGTGACTCACTTGTAGGACGATGGGGTCAATGGAGGTAAACTTGGTCTCCTCTCTGTACAGGTACTCTATGGAACACTTGAGCATCAGGATCCTGGGGTTCTTGATGTAGGGGTTCATCTGGTTGCAGGTCAGACGGATTAGTTTACTATCAGCTATTCTTTACATATTTCATTCAACAACTGGTACATTCCTTTACTGTATTTCTTGATATAACTGCAGATTCATATGATCACAATAGTTGACCCTACCTTCTTGTGGGCGATGTTTTTTGTGCACACAAAGCCATTTACGACCATTGAGTCAAACTTCTTGCCTCCAGGAATCTGAACCACAAATAAAGATTCAGTTATAACTGTATGTAACTCAGCTACTCATAGAGCTGACTATACTGTTTATGTAGTTAATTAGACAAAATATGAATACAGTGGTTGCGGCTAAAGTTTGGCTTCAACCTTCTTGATGTGGACCAGCTGCCGGATGTCCATGTCGTCATCGCAGTTGCGAACGTCGGGCCGCACCGTCTGCACGACCTGCCGGACCACGGGTACGATGATATCCCGCCAGGACAGAGATAGCGACTCGCTATAGAGCAGCTGCTGCAGCAGCGCCATCATGTGGCTGTGGTTGGCTGAACTAAACAGACAGGCAGGTGGTTAGAAACCTTCTACCATGTAGAAATGCCAGCAGCTTACCTTCTAAGTTACTGTCATCTTCAAACCATTTTTTGGAGCTTTTTACCTTATTTTTACCGAATTCTTCTCTTTATTTTGGTTATATTTAGTATTAACTTCACAGCTGTGTTTACGGTTTTGGCTGTTGTAGCACAATAATGTCAACTATGGCGACAATTAAATTATATCCACCCATCTTCTTCTGCTTATCTGGGGCCCGGTCGTGGGGGTAGCACCCTAAGCAGAGAAGCCCAGACCTCCTTCTCCCCGGCTGCCTCCTAGAGATGAGATTCTGAGACCACCTAAGTGAAAGCCTTCTGCAACTTGGCTACACCTAGAAATTATGTCCATCAAAATTACAAACAGAATTGGTGACCAAGGCTGGAATCCATCACCCACCTGAAAGTCTGACTTATTGCCGACTACTGTGATCCCCGAACAGTTGGAACACTTCCCCCTTCTTAAACATGGGAACCACCACCCCAGTCTCTGCCAATCCAGAGGTACCGCCCCTGATGTCCACACAACATTGTAGAGGCGTATAAACCAAGACAGCCCTACTACATCCAGAGCCTTCAGGAACTCAGGGCGAACCTCATCCACGCCAGGGGCCCTGCCATAAAAGGAGTTGTTTAACTGCCTCAGTGACCTCGTCCCCAGAGATAGACGAGTTCTCCTCCTTGTCCCCAGACTATGGAAGACGTGCCAGTGGAGGTCCGTGCAGGGGCTTCGACAATGGAGGTGCAGAACATGGTCTATTGGGACTCAATGTCCCCAGTCTTCCTCGGAAAGCTGTTGAAGCTCTGCCGAAAGTGCGTATTGAAGATCTCTCGGACCGGGGGCCTCTGCCAGGCATTCCCAGCGCACTCTCACTATACGTTTAGCATCCACCTGATCCAACTCACCACCAGGTGGCGATCAGTTGACAGCTCAGCCCCTCTCTTTACCAGAACATATGGCTGCAGGTCTGGTCATCGACAAAATCGATCATCAACCTGCAGCCTAGGGTGTCCTGGTGCCATGTCCACTTATGGACACCCTTAGGTTTGAACATGGTGTCCTAAATTGCATCTGATTTAATTTGATACACTTGTGTTTTTGTTTATATTTATTTATCTATTTGTACCTCTTCTTGTGGGTTAATGTTATATGTCTATATCTATTACATGCCAGTATCAAAGGACTATTCTATAGCAAGTAAATAGTGAATGCAAACTGGTAGTTTGTGGTTTGCAGCCCTAGTTTTGACACTATTGCTCTATAATCACAGTGGTGCCATATCCACTCACAGCAGCCTCTCCATGGCCTTCTTCTCCCCGTTTTCCTCTCTGAGCTGATCCAAAGAGCTGTGGTGCCAACCCAGAGGGGTGAACATCATCTCTTTAGCCTTTTCCTCCACACGACGGTTGAACAGAGACTCTGTGGCAAGAATAATACGTTTACTTACCTAGTCAGATATGCCAGTGAGTTACTAATTAAATCAGTGAGGATCTGCAGAGTTCGTACCTTTGATGAATGCATCAGTTATGACAATGTTCTGCACTCCATCCTCGGACAAAAGAAATTCTGTTTAAAAAACAAAAAGAAAGTGTTATTTTTAAACACTCCCAAACAACTATTAGATTTCACTCAGGCATTTCCTTTTGTTAAAAAAATCTAAAAAACAGGAAATGAAATCCATCAGCAAAACAAACTGAGACAGCACGTGGAATTACCTGCATGTTATCTGCACTTCTGTGGAAGAAAATAGGCCCTGCTTCTACCACAGACCCAGCATAAATACTTTGCTTCACAAAACAATTTCATTGCAGAGACTGTAGCAGGGCTAACACAAAGAGACAGACAACCATTCACACTCATGTTCACACCTATGGCCAATTTACAAACTCCTAATGACAGACGAAGTCACTGTGGCCAAGGATCCTCACGTACAGGTCATATCGCAGCAGGGAATATTTACCTTTCTGCTCAGCAGCAGGAGGCACGTGTGGATATTTGGACTGCTTCTTAACATGAAAGTTGACATTGTTTTGCTCCATGTTAAGGTTTATAGAGGCGGCGGAGTCACTATCCACCACAGAATGGGAACTGCTAACTGACGTCCTCTTGCTGGGGCTGGCAGAGTCTAGATGCATGCATACACACACACACACACAGATTGGAATGCAGAGAAACGATATGAACGTAAATACGGTGTAAAATGTGAGAGCTTGTAGATGACATGTGTCAATTAAAAAATTAGTAGAAATACAAAAATCTCCCACAGTTTGCAACATATTTACATTCATTAAAACCAAACCCCATGCAAAGAGGCTTCAGTTGCAAAGATAAAACACTGAATAAAGTGTCACACAGATACGTACTGGGCATGGCGTACTCAGTCTCATCTGCAAGCTGCTCTGTGTCGCTGTCATCAAACTTGATGTCTTTAAACCAAGATGGCTCTGAATGTCCCTCCAGTGAGTTGACACTATCGCTGTCTGGAGATGGGGTTTCTGAGAACTCTGTGCTCTAAAGATCAAACAGCGTGACGTCAAAGTCTGCACATTAACCTTCACTGAAATAATCAGTGGTATGACCCCCTTGAGCAATCAAGCCCACCCCATTGAATCAATATCACTGCTGCAATGAGTCAATGCGGATTACAGCAAATGTAAAACAACTTAGACGGTATCCTAAAATATTTCTGTAATTCGGCTTTCCCTCACTATCTGCAGGCTTTGCGTATCAGCAGGAAGCAGCTCTCACCTGAAGAGGTCGGTAGAGTGCATACTCGTCCCTGAACAGCTGGTCGTGGTGTGTGACGCAGTCGATCCAGCGACCGTCTACTAATGCCTGGCCTATTGCAATAGCCTGTGCCCTGCAACATGGAAAAACCGGAGTAAAACATGAGTGAGAGCAGCTTTTAACATGTTAATATATTTTTATCAAAATGAGCAGGGGAAGTCAGTCAACCGTTCATGCATGTACACATAAAAAGTCATTTACCAAACTATTAGAAACTTTTAGAAGAATTCCTAATCATGCCAAAGACCTGTCCAACGATGTTTATGAAACACACACCTTTAACGCACTAGAAGAAAATAAGCATTGTTGTTTCTCCAGGGCAGGGGTGTCCAACTCCAGGCCTCGAGGGCCGGTGTCCTGCAGGTTTTAGATGTGTCCTTGATCCAACACAGCTGATTTAGATGGCTAAATGACCTCCTCAACATGTCTTGAAGTTCTCCAGAGGCCTGGTAATGAACTAATCATTTGATTAAGGTGTGTCTACCCAGGGTGAGATCTAAAACCTGCAGGACACTGGCCCTTGAGGCCTGGAGTTCCTCAGCCCTGCTCCAATGCAATCGTACCTGGTGGAGATGGTTCCATTTCTCAGCAGCCAGTTGACAAGCTCCTTTCCCACAATGCAGTTTGGGTAAGTCCTGAGCCAGTATCTGTGGTCCTGAAACTCCATTCCTGTGCTATTGTGGCAGATTTTCTTCCACAGATCCTTCAGCTGAGAGGAATCCTACAAGACATGTTGTACTGGTTGGCATCACTCAGATGGTGTTACAACAACGAGGAACCGTGAACCATGAAATCAGAAGAAGAGAAAGGAAAAATCAGCTACCAGCAGGATCTTTCGCTCCTCCTCACTGTGGTCCAGCTTGGTGCCGCTCTTGGTCCCCGACATGGATCGACTGGTTGGCGGGCTGACTGAGCTGTCGTAGGAAGGCACCATAGAGGATACAGAGCGATCCAGCGTCATGGTGGTCACACTGGCAGATCTGAGAGAAACAGGAACCACTCACATTCATGGCTTCTAGCTATTTAAACTGTACAGATGTTTTTACCCAAGGTTGTTCTGGACTGAGACACAAATAAGCTGAAAAACTGAGCTCAATAATCTTTTTTTTATAAACTTCTACTGCCAAGAACAGAAGATACAATTAACTGTGTTGCCTCTGGAAAATTACTTCTCTGGTCATGATCTCAATATTTCATGTTGCAGTGAGTGGAAACACTCTCAGACAAACTGGTGACAGTTATCAAAAATAATTCCTGTCTTATTTAGAAACACTGACTCCCTGAAATCACTCTGAGTCAGTCTGCACCGACGAGCCCAACTTCAGTCGCAACAAACGACTCAGTTCAACTGCTTGCATTCTAGTAATACTCGTATAGGTTGCTGAGCATGTGTGTGTTTTTGCAGTTCAGCTGCTGTCCTGCAGCAACGTCACTATTGGTGGAGAAAATTTGATTTCAAATCTCGGAGGTTCTGGCAGGACTCGTGTGGATTTATGTTTAGTGTGAATTTATGTGCATGTATGTGGCAACAGATTTGCAATAGACAGAAATACTACTATGATTTTCACCAGTGTATTACAATTGTTACCACAAACAGATGCGTGGAATTACCAAATTAACTCAATTCAATCTCAAACTGACAGGAGTCTGACTCAGACTTATTGATATTTTATTGTCCTCTTGATGCACCAAAGTTTCTTTGAAGACAGCAACTGTCTCAGAGTGGTCGCAGCCCTGATCCTTGGCTTCAAAGCAACCATTTAAAATGCAACAAGATCACAAGCTCTTCGCACTCAGTCACAGCAATTCTGTTTGTGCCACAGTCTACAATAACCGTTTCCCCCAGTGTGACTGCAGCTTTGGAAAATCCAGTCCTAGAACTCAATTTCCATTAGATGACCTTGCTAAATGAAGACTGAATGATAATAACAAAAATAACAGTAACAAATGGAGACAGAGAAATGTAGGAATGAAGTAGGAAACAGAATTATTCGATGCGGCAATGATCTGGATAGCTTGTTGTTTTTAGATAAAGATTGAGGTGATCTAAAAAACAAAACAAAAAAAACCTTCAGACCCTGCTGGCATGAAGAAAACACGGAGAAAACCAAAATTCTTCTTTACCTGAGGCTGGAACACACTGTGCATAATGTAATTTGTACAAGCAAACAAAAAGCAGCGACTGACCTCTTCCTCACAGGTGATTTTCCTACGTCTTCCTGGAGTGTGGTCAGCCTTGAAGTGAGGCCGCTGTTCTGAGGCTCCTGGTGAATCATACTAACAACACACAAACTTGGATTTAGACTCTTCCTGCAGTCCTTGCATTTCCTTTCTGTTCTCCGCCCACATTTATGATCAGTAGATTTCAGAATGCAGAAGACTATTTTCTTTACAGAGCTAGAAAGCATTAGCCTCTGCTAACTGACCGCTAAAGCTGAGACACATGTGGAAAAAAAGAAGAAAAGAAAAAGAATGAAACAAACAGCAAGACTCACGTCTTTCTCATCCCAATAGGAGTTTTTCTATGCCAGAAGAGAGAGAGAGAGGAAACAGATTTTCTTTGAAGGAAGTTGACAGAGAAAAAGCGGGGGAGCACACAGGCTTAAAACTGCAACCAAACAAGCACAAGTTGTAAAATGCACATATGCTTGGAGAAAGTTTGAAAAAGATAAGTCTTTGAAGACTCATTTAACAATTTGTCTGGTCTGTTCTGTGCACGCTAAAGATATCTTTTAAAAAAAAAAAAGATCATCAACCATTTTTCAAAAGGAAAGTTGAGATTAGTTATACTTTAAGCAGATTCTTAAATAATTAGAATCACATGTTAAAGGCATGTGCAATATGATTCAGCTTGATGGGTCTTAACCAAGCACATAGTACAGAATCTACAAACTTCACATTGAAGCAGAAAATCCAGCAAGGAAAAGATGAGCAGACATCAAACAGCATGATTCCACTAAGAGACGGACACTTCATGACAGGCTTTGACGGCTGGAGGTGCAGCGTGGAGGCAGGAGGAACTGGGCTACAGTCAAACAGTGTCCGATTGCCATTGTAGGGTCTTTACTTGACAATATAAAGTGCCTTGAGGCGACTGTTGTTGTGATTTGGTGCTATATAAATAAAACTGAATTGGATTGAAGCATCTCCTCTGACAGGGCCTTGTCGGTGAGCTGGGGGAGCTGCGCCCTCAATAGATACATCTGTTGCTGCAGGTGGTTAAGCATCATCTCTCTCAGCCACACTGCTCTCTTCTAACCAGGGTTGGGTCATTATGTCCATACTGACCACTATTATTCCCCTGAATCTCCTGCTTTGACAGCAGGTTTCTTCTAATGAGCTACCAGGTACTTCATAGTCATTACAGACTTGTTCTCATTCATAGTTACTACATGTGCCAGCCAAGTCTCTTAGCTGGCTGGCATAGTAGCATTCCAACACTTCCATGTTCCCATATCCATGTAAGCCTTGTTCCAGTAGCCCATGTCTCATCAGAGCAGCATTAAAAACAGGTGTCACATGACTGCCCAGTCTGATTCTCTGAGCAGTGCGTGTCTCTTCTTTTATGTCCCTGTGAGTACTCAAACTTTACAACATGAAGTATTTTTATAAGAGTGGTCAGGAAAAGACAGGAGGACACTTTTTTGACTCTTTGACTGTAACCATCAGTTCAGAACTGATAGTGAAGGAATCATGCAGAAAGCCTGTATTCTACCTGTGTTTGTTCAAACTCAACTGGAAATCATTCAAACATAAGTGCCAGAAATCAGGTTTTACATACAGTATATTACAAGCTCAATTCCATCTGGGTATGTAAATTAAAATTTCTCAGATATAACTTGCCACCAAGTGTGCATTTATGTCACCTCTGCCAGGTCAGGTCCTCCTCAAGGAAGATGTTCCTGCTGGACTTGCGCCCACCCAATGGCGTCCGTGGTTCACTGGGCTCCAGCACACACACAGAGGAGGGAGAGTCAGACAAGGCGCTCAGATCCTCGCCGATGGAGCCCGAGTCAGCTGAGTGAGCGTAGTTTAATGCTAATTTACGGCAGTATGTACACGCCCGCAGGTCTCCTGGCAACACAGAGAGGCCGACCAAGACAGGAAGAGGCGTAAAGAAGGAAAGAGTGACAGTTAATAGAAATGGGAGGAATTGTTCTCACAAAAGTGTCACAAGTGCTTAGATAGAGGAACGTTTCCACCAAGGTTAACATTAATGTAGGATGATGTAAAATGACAATGCAAGATATTCTGGTGGATTACAAACAGTTTTCTGATACATTCGTAACCAAGTAATATCTGGACCCTACCTGTGTAGCCCATGAACTTTCCGGGAATTTCCTGGTTGCAGCAGCGGCTGCAGAAGATCTGCCCACACAGCCTGCAGTGATGTCTGCGGCGAAAGGTGGTAAACTTCTCGTTGCAGTCATAGCACTCCTTACACTGGCTATCTGGCATCCAGTACTGCTTCAGATCGCTGTCCTGAAGGGGGACAACATCACAGTATGCTGCTTTCACCCAGAGACGTATGGGTGATATGACCTTAAGATGACATCACGATAGTCCAAGGAAATTTGCAAGAACCACATTTTTGATAATATAGGGAAAAATTGAGTTCCTAATTCACTTCCCAATTCTCTAAAAAAAAAAAAAAAAAAGGTCCCAGCAGCATTCTCATTCAATAAAAGAACTAGATGTTACAATCCCAGATAGTACATTGCTTCAAAGGAGAAAGTCTTGAGGGATGGCAGCCCAGAAGCTTTACCACCTTTGTATGTAAGTAAAAATGCAGCAGCATTATGCAGCAGTAAAAGTACAAAATTACTACTGAACACTGTAGTTCAATAATAACTAAAATAAGCTAACCTTGTCTTCAGGAGTTGTGCAAGATTGTGACATAATGTCATATCTTGGGCCCTGCTTTCCCACCATGTAACTGCAGTCATTTCCATCCAGTGTTTGGTCATACTACCAAGTGCTTCAGTGACATCATTTGTAGTAGTGTGCTCTGTTTTATGTACACCAGGGTTATCTTATTGTTGTGCACAATGAGGAAGATAAATGCATGGCATTGCTACAACAAAAACTTTGCAATATGCTGTTTTTGCTTCGGGTAAAGATGCTTACTGTATTATCGAGGATGATATGGCACAGCCCTAGAGAGGTATTGCATGGCTTGGGCCATATTTATGACATTGTTGATTAAAAACAGACAAACTCAGTTCACTTTTAGCGCTCAAAGCCTTTGAACTGGACTGAACATTCACACTTTTCCTAGAAAAGGCATATTATAATGAAATACCAAAGGTAAACAAATGTTTCCAAATATAGAGGAGTTTGTTTTACCTGGCTCTTTCCCTCCATGATCTCCTTCAGCCGCTTCAGTGCAGTGCGAAGTTGCACAGCAGTACGAGGGTCATGATTACTTAGAGATGCAACAGATTTCCCGCTTCCCTCTAAAAATCATCCATGCAAACAAATGAACAAACAGAACAAGTGAGCACAATAAATAAGTCTATAAATAAGTCCTGCCGCATTGTCAAATATTCCTCTTTTAAAAAAGAAAATACATATATATATATATTTAATCTGAATAAATGCTACATTGGCTTCTCTTAGGTAATGTAATTACACAGCTAAATGAGAAACATTTGACAATGAACAACTACCTTTAAAGTTGCAAATGTGACATGACACAATCCAAGTTAATAAAAAAATAAAAAAACAAAAAATAAATAACTTGGCAAAAAAGCATGATGACTAGAAATGTTAGCTTAAAAATCAATCATAACAAATTACATTCCAATTATTAGTACCTGAGAGGCAAACCAAACACTAAAAGGAAGCGCTTTGTTTTAAAAGGCAAATCTCACACACACACACACACACACACACACACACACACACACACACACACAGAGGCTATTTTTTCAGACTGAGCAGCTACAGTCCAGACAAAATAGCTTTAGTAAAACCACACAGTGCAGAAGAGCCCTCACCTGGCCAATCCACTGCAATCAGAAAAGACACGAGAATGGATGTTACAGCGCTTATGTGCATCACTTTTTTGTTTTCTCTTTCCAACATAACAATGGCTGTGTCCCAAATCACTCACTTCCATTAGATATTTTGTATTGCCGTCTGATCGTACAGTAAGTGTAAATACGGTGCTCTGAAAGCTCTTCTGAGCAGGTCACTATCCAGGGATTGTATACCATCACGCACTGTGAGGAAGAAGGAACTTGTTGATGCTGATTTGTCACAACTTCACTGCATGACAGTGACATGATTCAAAGTGACTCGACAAGTTTCCAAAAGTGTGTGTGTCATTTTGCCAATGAGTTCATATCTCGTCTGCTACACAGAACCCCTGACACAAGCAGCAGGGAATGCATGAATGATTTCAAACACAACCAGTTACACAAACATCAAAAAGTTGATTCTGTTCTTCTGGATGTAACGTTTTCAGTGGGAGAAACGTTTGGTCACTCATCCAAGTGACTTCTTCAGTCCTTGGATGAAGAAGTCACTTCGTCTGAAAACACTACGTCCAGATGAACAGAATCAACTTTTTGGCACTTACTTACCTGGATGATTGAGCATGCATCAAGACAGTTACACAAACGCTCACAGAATTGTTTCTGTGATCAACTCACATTCAAATCTGCAGGTTTTCGTTCAAAAATAAAGAAACACAGAAGCTGGTGCTTCATTAACAAAGACATTTCTAGTCAGACACCTGTTTCTCTACTGAGTTAACACTAATAAAGGTTTACACAGAACATGTTTTTTGCCTCTGAAACTGTAATTAGGGGAGTTTGGTGGTGTCTTCAGGCAGAAGACATTTTAACTTAATCACAAAAAAACAACAAGACAGACACTTTTTTCCTGCCATGAGCTTTATTTTTGCTCCACTTTCCTGACCACTTCTATGAATTTTTTATAAATTTCCTTTGTTTGAATGAGTGTTTTGTTGTCATTTAAGTGTCATTGTTGGCATGTACAAAACTAACAGTGTTTAAGGAGTGTGCAGTGTTTCTTCACAGATGACAGCCAAGCAGTCTTACCAGAACAGACCACACAATAATATTTACTCAGCATTTTAGTTGAGAAGACAAAAACCTTATCAGTTGTACTGATCATCACAACCACAACACGTGCAGACACTATAGCCCGTGACAGGCAAATGACTTGTTTGTATTCTTATGTTACAATATGCAATATGGTTGTTGCTTCTGTTGCTTTATTGGATGAGACGACTCTTATTATTCTTCCCCATCAAAAACTGGAACCAAATGCAGTTCAATTCAATATTGTGAAATGCATTTTATGATCTTGTGACAATAAAACATGTTTTATTGGTTTTGCACAAGATCAAAATGTTTAAGAGGTTTGCAGCACTGGAAATGATCCTGTTCTTCTCGTCTCACAGCTATCTGTTCATTTTCAACAGAGTGTGGAGCTGAATTTGAAAGCTTTCAAAGAGTTTGACTAATTTGTAAGCATAAAAAAAACCAAACCTGTCTCGAATATCAGGAAGTGTCCAGTGTGTGACTTTTACCTGAGGCTGTTGAGGTGCGTCTGTAGTGGTCGGGATGTTGCTTTCGATGCGTCCTCGAGTGAGAGGGACTGGTGGACCAGCTTCTCCTCTCTGATTGAGGAGAAGGGGCTGGAATGTCTGGCTTCTCTGAGGCTGTTGAAGGAGGGCGTCCCTCATCTGAACACACAGAGAATGTGCTGAATAATTAAGTCCAGTAGTTTGCAGTTAAATCAAAGCCAATTGTAAAAAGTCATCAATTTCAAGATAAGAAATCTGACAGTAAAGGACTGTTGTTCAGTCTAAAGATCAGGATATTAGAAAATTAAATGCATTAAATGCAACCACAAAAAGGTTTCTCTCTAATGTGAGGGAATCCAACCTCTTTTACTACAGACTCATGTGACTCCAAAATCTGCATATTTTGTTGAGGAATAGAGGCGCCTTCACAGATGGGCCGGGTGCAATAAGGCACTCTATCGGATTCACTCTTTAACTGTGTGCTGATAACAAACAGGATGATGCAAAAAAAAAAAACAACAACAACAACAACAACAAAAAACGGATTTCAACTGGTCAGATGACAGGGTAGTTTAATAGCTCCATTTTAACTAAACCATGCAAAAAGTTTTTAACTAAACTCGTTGCATGGTAAAATCTTAACATGAGACATTTGCATATGCAGTGCTGAAGTTCTTTTACTGACAGCGGTTTAGAGGAGTACCCCTGAGTCTGTGCTGTGATTTCTACAACAGTCACACAGATCACAGCCGTCACGGGACTTTCACTGTCCCTTATGTATAAAAACTCTTCTTTGTGTGGAAATTTCTGAATCTGTAATCAAATTATGTACCAGTTAACAAGAGTAGTGAACGCATCAGCTTTTCTGAAATGCAATATTACTGATGTGTTCAATATTACACAGCTTCTCCAGTTTGTTGCCCCTTGTTTTGTTATATATGTTGCTGGCAGCCAATTCAAAATGATCAAATATACATTTGAAAACAGCGTTTTCATCTGAAAACGCTCCACGTCCACACTATCGTTTTCAGTTGTTTTCACAGAGTTGCGCGTCCACATTGAAACAGCCGAAAACGCTTACGTTCCAGTACTGCGCATGCGTGAGACGCAAGACGATTCGACTGCCGTTTATTTACTTTCCGGCTCTTTGAAACGTCGCGGCAAAATGTCGAGGAAAAGCGCCGAGTTTTTTAAATGGACTAAAAGTGAGGTGGAGTTGCTGCTGCGAGTAACAAAAAAAAAAAAAAAAAAGTACAAAGTTGCAAAAGTGAGTGAGAATTAAAGAATTTGAAGAAAAGCTATCTGGAGCACGTACACACTCATATTAATCTTTAATAGGGCTATCAAAACTCAGAGCAAACAAAACAACTGGTCACATGACTGCATCACATGACTAAAATTAGGGGACCAGACTTATCGGAGAATTTTAATTCATGACTTGTGCAGCTCACTGGGTCCTGGCTTCAGATAAACATCTTCTATAAAATATGTCGAGTCAAAAATACTGTAAGATGTAATTTCCACTACAGATTTATCACACTGTGTTTACAGTGGTAGGCAAAATATCTATATGTAATCTCTGTTAATCAGTGAGCGGTCTCACTTTTCTCTAACTTTCAGACATTAAAGAAATAAAAATCAATACAGAGTGTAGCTTTTGGACTAACTCAAGTGAAATTCTTGGGCTTCTATTTGATTATATTGTGCATTTCCTCACCTTTGTTGTTAAACCGAAACAGGTTGACAAAGGAGCTGTATGCAGAGCGGAGGGGAGGTTCATCCTGCTCTGGAGTCAGTGGCTTGAAGTGAGTCAGGTGGGAGGGGCTGGTGGGTGAGATGCCAGCTGGCTCCACGCTCCAGTCCGTTGAGGATGAGGACGAGGACTTGTCATCTGTAGCCATGTCACTGTTCCTCCTGCCATAGAGGGAAAAAGGTATGCACTGAAGAATGTACACGTAAGCAAGAACACATTTAGCTTATTCAGTCTTTAGTCAGTTCCTAGAAACTTACCTGCAAAAATATCAGTAACTGCTGACTATTTTAATTCCAAGATTCTTGCACCTACCCTGCCTAAAAACAATCAAATTGCACGCTCTGTCATCTAATACACATTACACATTTCAAGGACTACACTGTTTTTCTACGAGAGCAGTTTTGCATGATTCAAAGTTCAAAATAATCCTTATATATCTTACAGTTTGTCCACTTTCTGAAACAAGCTGTTTAAGCTCCTTTCAGTTTACAATTAACATCTTCGGACTGGTTGAAAGGGTCTGACTGTCCGAGGGCTTCTGACAGTATAAACTTAGACACAGCTGGGTGTTCCAACAGGAAAATGATCCAAAACATACATCAAAGCTGATTTTACCATGGACAAAGGAGGTTAATATTGAGCTGCTGAAATTGTCTTCTCAAAGTCCTATACTTAAAACTATGCTTAAAAGCCAGTTCTGTGGCAGGAAGCCAACAAATTTAAATGAATTCTGTCAAGAAGAGTGGTTAAATATTCAGCCAGAATTATACCAGAAGCTTGTTGATGGCTATCAAAAGTTAAAACTTGGTATGAGATATTTAACCACATATTAGTGGATGCTAACAGGGTTAAGCTACCCAGGAAAAAGGAAAAAATGATGACCATGGTAATAAAAGCATTTTAGCCATTTGTTTTTGCTTTTCATTTCCTCAAGCATAACATATACGTTTATTTATTGAATGACCAGAAATAGCAGGAATATGCCAAGTGGCAAACTCCAGGCTGAAAATGAAGCCAAGACAGACCTGCCAGAATGGTAGTTCCTCACGTAGCTACTCACCATAAGCAAGTCAAATCCAAAGACTCCAATGTCAAAATGCCCAACTTTAGGGCATTAAAAACTACAATTACAGCCTGACATTGAAAACAAGATGAAAACTGTTGAGCTTTATGCTTTTGTGTCTCCTTCTATTCATTTTCTGACTTTTCCATCCTTAGTGGTGACTTTAAATCCCTGTGTTATTGTGCAACCAAAGTCTTTGCTTAGGGAGGGTATGTGCAGTGTATACAATTTGCATGACCTGGTAGCTGAGTCTGTGTTATAGGATAATCTGTCCATGCTGGGTCCCCTCAGATTGTACCCAGTAAACCTGTTGAAATAGGCTCAGCGTGACCAACAATTGTAATAGTGGTGACAGGAAGTCTGTATGCCCAACACCATCACCACCAATGTTGAAACTGATGACACACAACCTTGTGACTGCAAACTTCAAAACAAGAGCTCAAATCCTCACTCTTTGGTGTAACCACTCAACTCCAGCAACCATTTCAATGTATACCACAGTGAACAAGGAAGTCCACATTTTAGGGCAACCTGTTTAATTTCTTTCAAATAGTATATTTGGAAAAGAGTCTTCTAATAAAGAAGAAATTATCAGGTTTTTTACTTTGATTTTTTTTTCTGTAATTCTGAAATTTCTTTTTTTTCATCAACGGGAACAACATCTTTGTATCTCCTTTCACACACTGCTGTTGCAACCTAAAGCTGACATATCTAACATTTGATCGCTGACGGTCCCACACATGAACTCGACCTCGTGACAAGAAAGACTCTCGGCTGGTCTGCATCCGCTTCTTAAAATTCTCCGTGATCAAAGCTTAAAAGCCGATACCAATCTCTTTTTTACTTACCTACTCAAGAAGGCCACGGACTTTGAGTTTGCAATACAAGCCATTTTAGATACTAGTAGTGAAAGCAGAAGTGGCAGAGGCATCACATCCACCACCTTATCATGTGATCAAAATAGGCCGAAGCGTCACTACAGTGTCCTGACACGACCAAGCCCTCAGCCCCATCAAAGAGCTAAAGATTGCTGTTGTTTGGATACGCTTATAGACTGCACAGATATCCATCACCATTTTCCACATTTTTTTTCACTAGTCGTCAAAGTTAGCCACTAGCTCGCTATTAACTACCTAAACTAATACCTTTTACGTATCATATATCACCAGATTTTAATTGTAGCATATTGACTTTATAATTACAAGTATCTTGAAATGTCTTTTAACGAATTAGTTGTTTTTTTGTAGGCGGAAACTATGACTCAACTCAAGCTGTGCTGATCAACTAGCTTGACGAACAGCACAGAAGCAGCTACAACTGTTTTTAGCCAAGCTAGTTAGTACTAGCTTCGTATGCTAACTAGCCGGTAGGCTCTACTGGTCGTAAAATCTGGGTAACTGCTGTGACAGCAAAAAATATGAATTACCCGTTCACTATAGGAGACTGACATCACTGTATGGAACACCCCCGCTTTCAAGGCAGCTGTAAAACACCTGGAGGAAACCCCGACTCCTTTGAAACACCAGACAGACCTATCCAATCGACTCCCACCACTGGTTGTGACCAGCCAGGCGCAAAAGCCGAACATAGAGACGGCGATGGAGGCGCTCATTAGAGGATGGCAGCCAGGCGGCAGTCTCCTACTTTAGCGGTGACTAAAAGCAATGTTGTTTGAACAGGGATGTCTCAAGTGCAGCTAAACACATTCAGCCATTACCTTACTTCTATTACATTTTTATGGCTATTTGATTCTCCATACAAATAAACAGTAACAGATACACAGGGTAGCAGACTGAGTCACATAGCTATATGAAAGACAGTAAGCAAAATAAGCAAATTACAAAATAATTACAATTAAGAGATGTATATAAACACACATACAAATAGGGGAAAGAAAAAAAGTCTACAACAGTCTAAACTACAACAGCAGTCAAGCTGATAAAGTAAAACGCTTCTCGCTAAAGTCAGTACAACCAAATAAGAGGTTTTTGTAGAAAACTACAAAGTCTGACCAACTTTTACTAAAAATGTTGTGGTATTTATGTTGTTAAAAAATGCCGCTGTACTTATTCTTATTATTCTTCATGTAATTTCTTCTTTTGTTTTTCCTTTTGTAAATGGATAACTCATACAATGTAAAATTGCATTTTTTTGAGTGAAAAGGGGAACATTTTGTGGATTATTTCTATTTTTATTTATTTAATGTCACAAAAGTGTCTCTTCTGTGAGCTAAAACTTTCAATTTTATCATTTTTGTCTTTTCCTACATTCAGCTTTGTCGGACAAACTTTGTGTAGCCAAACTGTTCTAAGACTAAACCTCTGAATTTAGTCTTTTATATGAAATAAGTTGTTATCGGTTTATTTTCAATATTAGTTCACTCTTAACCAGGGGGG